TGTTGTGTTAACAGGAATAGCATGCATAGCAAGCATGTACTCGTAAGATACATGCGGTTTTCCATACGAAATACTTTACAGGGTTTCGTCAAAACTTACCCTTTCACGTTTCAGCTCGAGGCGACTACCTGTGAGGTTTATATGAAATATGAAAAGTAATTCAATTTGAATTTTTTTAAAATGGCATTAGTTTGCCATCGGAACAAAAGATACACAGTACTCGTCTCCCTGGCAAAAAAACCAACATTTGAGAAACTAAAACAGGCTCCCAAGACTTCCCTTCCCTTCCGAGTACCTACAGACTATCTCTCACCACCACGATTATTATTATCATTTTTTTTTTTTGTTTTTTTTTTTTTTTGCAGCCTAGTCAAAGACATCTAAGAATATTGAAACTCCACTATTTTTAAAAACGGGAATCACATACAAACAAACACAATAACCAGCTTCACTTATCAAAATAAAAGAGAGTCGGATTATCTAACCGTACCGACTGTTCAAGTTGTCAGCTAAACCTATCGTGCGCACAAAAAGCAATTGGTAGCTTACGCGTAACAATGGTAGTGCACTAAGATCCCTATCTCTCACCACCACGATTATTATTATCATTTTTTTTTTTTTTTTTTTTTGCAGCCTAGTCAAAGACATCTAAGAATATTGAAACTCCACTATTTTTAAAAACGGGAATCACATACAAACAAACACAATAACCAGCTTCACTTATCAAAATAAAAGAGAGTCGGATTATCTAACCGTACCGACTGATCAAGTTGTCAGCTAAACCTATCGTGCGCACAAAAAGCAATTGGTAACTTACGCGTAACAATGGTGGTGCACTAAGATCCCTATCTCTCACCACCACGATTATTATTATCATTTTTTTTTGTTTTTTTTTTTGCAGCCTAGTCAAAGACATCTAAGAATATTGAAACTCCACTATTTTTAAAAACCGGAATCACATACAAACAAACACAATAACCAGCTTCACTTATCAAAATAAAAGAGAGTCGGATTATCTAACCGTACCGACTGATCAAGTCGTCAGCTAAACCTATCGTGCGCACAAAAAGCAATTGGTAACTTACGCGTAACAATGGTGGTGCACTAAGATCCCTATCTCTCACCACCACGATTATTATTATCAATTTTTGTTTTTGTTTTTTTTTTTTTGCAGCCTAGTCAAAGACATCTAAGAATATTGAAACTCCACTATTTTTAAAAACCGGAATTACATAAAAACAAACACAATAACCAGCTTCACTTATCAAAATAAAAGAGAGTCGGATTATCTAACCGTACCGACTGTTCAAGTTGTCAGCTAAACCTATCGTGCGCACAAAAAGCAATCGGTAGCTTACGCGTAACAATGGTAGTGCACTAAGATCCCTTTTGAGTGCTTATTGACACGCCTACCCTCAGTATCTGGCCACTAATATCTTGAATCGAGGCCATCATCAAGTTAAATGCAATCTCTTCAAATTACATTTTGAAAATTCTGTTCCTTCCCCATTATAATACTTGTAGCCTAAGGGATATGAAATATTCAACAGTTGTAAAGATATCTTAAAATGTTCTTGTGTACATTAAAAATTATGGCCATGAAGTCGTCCACTCAAATATTCCTAGACAGTATTCTTTAATAATAAAAAGGCGTAAGGGCTTTTATTCAAAATGATTTTAATGTTTTTTGCTTTTCTTTCATTCAGGAAGGTGAAGAAAAATTAGGAAACCAGCCAGACAGTAATACCATCTCGTACGCAAGCTCGCTCTGAATAACTTAACATCATGGAGATATTCCAAGATTTACTCATTGTTTAAGATATAGACATCGTAATCGTCGAAGCAAAGAAAACGATCCCACGCATTTAGCTCTTCACAAAATGTCTATTTCACCAATACCCCACGATCACTTTTCTGTTGCTAATTTTGCATACATTTTTTTTCATAATTTAAGTTAAGTTTAATTTCAAGCTGGCGGTCAGCACTTGCCATCAATTTCTCTTTGAATTAAATATATATTCTTGATTTAAGATCTGTAGTAGTTAAAAGTCATAATCGTTGCTAAAGGAAAACAATTCAAATGCATGACTCTGTCTCTACTAAAGAATATACGTGTACACCGAATGCAACACTGGTCAACGCTGTTTCGAATTAATCTCCAAAAGGTTTCACCGCTGTTTTTTCATCGGTCTCGTTCAGATCTATATCCGTCAGAAGCTTTTTCTGAATTATCTTCAAATTATCATCAAAATCCGTTTCCAGTGTTGTCGATGTTTCTAGCATGCTTGATACCCTGGTAAGCTTCTCTAACGCCTTGTCGAACTCAAGGATACCGTCAGAGTTGTATTTTCGCAAAGGAGGCTTGCAAAACTGTTCTCCATTGAAATTGTCTGCCCACTGAACCGACTTCTTCTTTACCGGCGTGGAATCTTGCTTTACGTGGTTGCTATCCTTGTCTTTCAAAGCACTTGATGCACTCTGAGATCGCCGTCTCCTGACCGTTGAAGGTCGAAAGCGCATCATTTTAAACTAGATGCAATTCATCGCTTCTACTTCTATGACGAGCCAAAGGTTCTTGTTCGCATCGTCGATACTGATGCCAAAGTCATTATTTCAAAAAGAGACACCATTGGCCACTGTGACAGTTTAGATATCACATGAGCTGATTAGCCTCAGGACTTGTCAGACAAAATATTGACAGAAGCCTGTAACTTCTATCGACAAAATAAGACTCCAATGATCTTATTTCCTCGCCTAAGGCGAAGCGCCACAACACATGTTAATAATCTAAAGCTGCTTTTATGCTTTTTAAAGTGTTCATCGTGAAAATAAATACCTGCATTTGGATGCCAACAATACTGTAATAACATCAAAGAATTATTCAGTTGTCTCGTGCCTAATTCTTTTCATTAAAAAGCTTCATCTGTCGTTTATAATACGTTAGCGGCTTTATTATGACGTGTCAATATCACAATTTCAGTTATTATAGGGGTTCGCAGTAGGAAAGATGGCTGTTTTAATTAATCGCAAACTGCCATCTTGAAATTTAGAACCACTAACATTAAACTGCATAGGAAATTCATACCGGCTCCGAAATAAATATTTTATTTCGCTCTTATTTTGTAGGTGGCCAAGTAAACGTGGCTTTAAATTTAAATAATTTTCGATGTTTGCATAAATTTTAGAAAAGAAAATTCCTTATATCATTCAAAATGATTTATAAAACTTGAAACAATTTAAGACCATCATTTCTCCGATACTTTGAGCGATTTGAAATTTTCCGAACTTCATGATATTTTAGAACATTATTCCTTTTACTCTGGAAAATATTGTTCCTTTTGATAAGTTCAAATCGATCGACATTTCGGCAAAGTGTGCAGTGCCATCTTGAAAGCTTAAGTAATACATTTTTAATGAGAAATCCGACTAACATCGGAATATTAACTCAATTACACAACTTTAGGGTTCTTTTCATATTCGGTAGTTTACAGCTAAATCTTATTTTTCAGTGGGCAGTATAATTTAAGACGTATAATTTCGTCTGAGTGAACGAGAAACTGCATTATAAGTTTAAAAAAACCCTAACTTGTCGAAGTTTGATTTCCACAGATTGGTAACAATTCAAAATAAAAAGGGGCTAGTATTTGCATAAAACTAATTATTTATTCTCATTAGACATTTCAGTTTTTGCGCAGATATATTTCATAAGTTGATCTTTTCAATATGTTTTTGAATATCTTGTTTGCCTGAACTCGTGATCGGGAAGTTTTTTCAGTTAGCGCTCCACTTGCAGCCCTCTGAGGCTTCATTTTTTTTGTGGTTATGAAATGCAAAAAAGAGAGATCAAGCAGGCACTAAAAATGTTTATAAGGAAAATTCTTCGTCGCAAAGGTGTATAGAAGGTTGATTAAAAAATAATCAGGCAGTAAGCCTGTAAACTGGTGAAATTAATACAACAATAATGACTATAATTGAGGAGCGAGTCTTCGAAATGCGAAAAAGTCGAATTTATCTTCATTCGCAACAATCAATGTACACACTCTTTTATTTTGGCTGCCGAGCTGTCTTATTTGCATCACACTTGGCTAATGCGAACATCGCATAAGATCATCCATTAACCATTTCATCCATTCACCCAGAAGTGATTAACTTGTAACTTCTCCCTATAGAATCCAGACACAATCCAGAAAATAGGTAATGAGAATACTCTAATTTATCAGGTAGAGTTTTCATCTTGATCTAACACTAAATTCTCGTAAATAATTTAGAGGAAAAGTTTAGCAGCTAGTGGGGAGAGTTTAATACCAGATTTTGGGAGTTTAGTGGTTAAAAACCTTAAGCTGCTTTGACATTAGCCTTGTGTTACTTCGTACGTAGTAGATTCTTTTAGGATAAATTTTTAAAGCTACTAGAACAAGGAGTCGTCGACAACATTCGTAGCGTTTGTTTTGATTAAGTTGTTGAACAAGAATTTAACTTGAAGCCTTCGCAGTTTTACTCAGCAAGTATGCTTGTCAAGTTTTCTCCGTTCACAAAGTGTTCTTTTCCATTAACTGACACACTGTTTTGGACGAGCGGAAGTCTTAATGAAAAGCTTGTCAGTTCCATTTTCAAATTTCCATTGCTTCTGAAACCTCATACATATTCATATGAATCACTTTATGTAATTTGGTTCAAACTGTTTAGTGTTCCGGTATAAAAGTAAACGAATGTTAGTTCATGATAATGGAAGATTTTCAGCATAGGGGCAATTGTTAGCTTGTAGGTTGTCACTCAAAAGTTTCCAGGGTTTCATAAATTGTGCAGGATTTCAGAGGTTGTCGCACTGGGTGCTTTGCGTAATAAGAGGTTGTTGGTTATGTCCAATAAGTTATCAAACGTTTTGATTCTCATTTGGCTAACTTTAAGAGTATTTTACACCTCAGTTAAAGCATATTATTAACAAAATCTCAGTAGACGGGTTTCCGAGTTAAGATTTATTTACAAAACACACTTCAGCGTACTCACTTCTAAATGAAAACGGTAACAAGTAAGATCCTCTATTTAAACTCGATAAGAGGAAAGCATCACTTGCTTGAGGGTTCGATACACTACTAATAAAGGATTAATAAGATTATTCTTATATCAATGGTAAAAGAACAGACGTGGTAGAATGCACTTATCATAGCGGAATGAATTAAAATCTTTTGTAAAACGTGATGCCTTTAAAAATTTGCGACCAAAACAGACGCACGCGTTCAAAAATGAATCTTAAGTAAGATTTTGAACAAAGGCGTAGGGGCTAAGCATCGAATGACCTTGCTTTATATGAAAATGCAAAGGTTCTCTGCTTCGAGCCCCTACGTATGACCTCTGTCCCACTGAACTCTACGATATACGTGTAGCTGCTTTTTTTACTAAGAATATTTATACCAAGAACTCTGACAAACCGGCTTTGATCGAAAAGATTTGAAGAGAAAGTCGACGATTCATGCAGCAGAGACAAGTAAGTCTACTGAATTTGATAAGCATTGTTTGTGGCTTATGGATGAGTACGGCGGGCAAATCTATGAAACTAATCACTCCAACATAAGATAACAAGGTGAAAATTCTCGATTGCAAGGCGGAAAATTAGACCATTTTAACATCACTAAGTGACGCCCGTGACTGGCATTCGGGACATCTGAGTCGCAAGTCCATCTTCATGGCTGATTATCTCTGTCAAATTCTGTGTCAAATCCTGGCTTAAGCGTTATTCCTTTCTTCTGGTTAGATATTTCAGTCGGGAATGACGGAGATAGAAAAGGGATCTAAAGAATCATCCGTGTGAAGATAGCCAGGTTTACAATTGCATATACTAAGGAAAATATAAAACATTTTCTCTTATTTTGTCGTTCTTTGATTAAGCTTCAAATTTTTGAAACTAAAATAGGTCTATTGTCCGTGGTAAGAATCTCCCACCGTTATGAGATGTCATAGTCGTGCTTCAAAACTGGAGTCGTATGCTCTCACAGGGAGTAGTTCGTTTCCGTTAAGCATGCGCAGTTACGATGAGAATAGAGACCTAGGAAAACAAGAGAAAATGGTATTATAATGAACCATATCGGGTGACCATGTTATAGTGTAGTGAGTAAAAGAGCGGGATCCTATTTGTAAACCCAACTTTCCTTTTTCGTTTTTTCAGCCACGTATCATACATTTGCAACCCCAAAAACAATACCGCTGCTTTTAGTCGATACATGTAATCACTAGAGACTTTCCTCTCGATGACATCTTTTTTAAGTAAATATTCTTAGTTTTTATTGCATTTCTGCTACTTACTTCATCAATGATGCGAGTCCCAGTACAGTGATTAAAGCGAAACTTGGCAAATCCTGCAAACCTTGATTCAAAAATGAAAACCTATTAGAATATGGTCGTAAATTCAATCACATTTCTGTGAGAACCTACATTTATGACGGAGAAATGGGGCGAATGAAAGCAAAGATGTCAGATGACAACACCATTAAAAACATTTTGCTTTTTATCATATCAAAACGAATAGATTTCATGTTTCCCTGGGTCTATGCAATAATAGATCACAGAAGACGCCAAAATGTGGTAAAAACATAAGCGACACACTTGACTGTGCCTCATGTGCCTTTCCTCTTCTGTTCTTACATATTTTTACGTCATCTTTGGTCTATTACCGAACAAATGTGCGGCAACACGGAATCTATTTGTTAAATATCAATTTCAAGACCTTACCTTTACTGCATTTGCATTGAGCTTTAGACTCCCCTGGACAATATCCTTTATCTTCCTTTTCTGAGGTGTCAAAACCGTGACATTTGTCGGAAGGTGTGCATACTCTCTCTACAATCATTTCTCCGCCTTGTCCATCACAGCAGACTCTTTCGCACTCTCCAGATTTGGGCGTTACTTCAATGACAACTCCTACAAGAAAATCAAAACCAAAATTTCGTAAGGTGAGAATAGTTATCTTAATATGTACATTGATTAGGCTCTCCATCAGTAGGGATAACGAAAAAGGGGAGCGAGCCAAAAACGCCTGCATGGGCCTCGCCGAGTGCCGTTTGGTCTCTGTTCTCTGAGAGCCTGGAAAACGCCAGCAAAAGCTTCCAAAAAAACTCATCAATCACTTATTCTAAGCTTAAAATTAAACTAATAGATAAGCATATGAAAAAACCTCTTATTTTCTTAATAGATCGGTCTCTAAGGACCTTATTATTCTCAAAGAGAGCCCGATTTGTGATACTGTTTTAATTTTTTTCCCCTAGGGATGAGAGGATAGACCTCTTTAGCACCATCCGCATCAATGAAACTTCTCTTTCTCACATTACAGATCTCTGAGGCGTATAATTGATTTCTTGGTTGCTACTGCAGATGATACGGTCTGAAATGCAAAAAGCTTTTACACGACGTCCATTGCGGTCTGCTTTTCATTACTATATAAATTTCACTTCCAGCCGGAGAGCCATTCGTAAAATTTGCGCGTCAAATAAGAAGAGGAAAAGCTTTCCTTTGGTGGTTTTACTTGTTTCACTTGTTCCAAAAGAATCTTCTGACAGCCAAATTGGACTCGGCCTATGGCCTCGTACAATTTTGGCTGTCCTCACCTAATTTTCACCTAATTATTTCCAAATGGAACAGCATGTATTCCTTTTACATATAAAACTTTTTAAAAACTATACCACCCAAACCAAGGAAGCGAGCTAAAAGTTTCAAAACGTTTTTCCTGAGAAGTTTATCTGTTAGTGTCGACTCTGTGTATTACTGGAACCGTGACTCATTTCAGACATCTCGAAATTGAACCATGGAATTAAAATATTAATTTTACCTTTTACATACGGTTTAAAGAAGTACCTTGAAACTCGAAAGTGGATACCGTGTTCTCTGCTTTTATATCATTGCCGAAAACGCCTTGTTGAAGTCCATTCTCAAATACTTTTTCGATCGTTAAGTTAGAGGGTCCTCCAACGTAAAATGACAGCATATATGTCCCTTGAAACGTAGAGTCGCAGATAACGTTTTTAGCTTCCACTCCACCGAGTCTGAATCCTGCACTATTATATAGTTTGAGAAGCTGTAGATTGGAAAAACGCGTGAGTAATTATGGCTAAGAACTTAAGGATTCGTGTTTTGGGCATCTGCATTTGGTGATGATAAAACTTAATTCAATCATCCTGCCTTTTGTTATAGATTTTTTTTAAAGGTAAATCAGTGAATTGATGAAAGACAGTACATTTCAAAATATATATACACTCGATTGCAAAACGTTCTCACCTAAAAAGTAACGAAACCAACGGCTTTATGGGAAATGTTCGCATTTAGATACATTGTCAGCGATTCATACAGGCAATTGACGATCAGCTTATGCCATGTTTATCATGGTTGAGCCATAAATCCCACACCTTTTTAATGACTATTGAAAAGGTATACCACCCATACATTTCGCGACAATAAAATCTTAAAAGATTTATCTTTATGGCAAATCAGAATAACCAGAATAGAAACACCTCGCGCGCAAGGGGACACGAGAAACGTGTCTTCATCGAGAACTCATGTATGTTTCTTATTGATAAAGGGGGTAAATTTCTAAAGAAACTGTGGTACTGCGTCGGTGGGAGAGTATAGAGGTAATTTAGTGTTAAAAACTGACTTGAAAGCGTAAATTGGCCACCGTAGCTTTTTTACCCTTTATGGTGGCCAATTTACGTTTTCAACTCAGTTGTTAACACTAACTTACCTGCTATATTTCTTATTGTCTATTAAAAAGGCATATTGAGGCATATTGAAGTGTCGTTTCGGATAAGAGCTGCCACGACATGATGATAAATCCTTTCTAATAAAAGTAACCAAGCTCTCTACTTACAGCAGTTATTATGGTCGCGTTTAAAGTGACCGAGATGGCGTCAGAACAATCAATTGTGATTTTCAGGCTCAGTGATACTGATGCACCTGAATAAAAGAAAGGCTCACTTTAGTATTCATACTCGTTTGGTAAGCATGATAACGTCATTGTGTTGACTCAGTTTCTTTTAGATTGTGTTTTCTTGCAGGATTGGGGTAACATTTCTTCAGATCTGGAATGATGGAAATTAATAGCTACCGTATTCTCCGTTTTTGCCGGCGCGAAACTCTGGGGCATAAAATTAAATTCAGCTCTCGATATAATTTGGGATAAATTAAGTTGATCTTCCTTCAACAACTTCTAACGTTAAGGGTTATTAAATTATTGGAATCAGAGCGTCAGCTCAATTCTGATGAAACGAGGCATCTTAAAAACAGCTTAATTTCCCCCAAATAATTATTCTAAAAGTAAACCGCCAAAATCTGTTTGTAAAATCCGATGGTAGCTTTTGAAAAATCCGTCATGGCGCATAGGTAAGTCACGCCGTCAACTTAACCTTGATGATAGACTTTTTATTACAATTTCCCACCCTTAGTCACAACGGTTCCCCAAGAATCTGATTGTTTCACTCGCCTGGTCTTTTGTCCACATAAACACTAGTTGTAGGTGGTGCTGTTTGCGTGCTTGTCGGAGATACTTCTCTTCCATCTACTGCCGATGTAGTTTCTCCTCCTCCAACTGCTGAGGTTGCTGCCTCACTTGTTCCAACTGCTGAGATTGTTGCCCCACCTCCTACAACTGTTGAGGCTGTTACCCCTCCTCCAATTCCTGTCGTAGTAGCTGCAATAACACTCATTGCTGCAGTGTTGGTTACTGCTCCTCCGGCTGCTCCAGTGGTAGTTACATCTCCTCCGGTTACTGCTGAACTGGTAACTTCACTTCCGACCACTGCCGAGGTAGTTGCCTCTCCTCCGGCTACTGTAGTGGCTGTAGCTTCTCCTGCTACATTTCCAGTTGTAGTTACTTCTCCCACGACCACTCCTGTATTAGTCACATCGCCGCTGGATACTGCCGAAGTAGTTACTCCTCCTCCTACTGAAGTGGTAGTTACTCCTCCTCCTACTGAAGTGGTAGTTACTCCTCCTCCTCCAGCTGCTGAAGTGGTAGTTACTCCTCCTCCAGCTGCTGAAGTGGTAACTACTTCTCCACTCTCTGTGGTGGCACTTACCCCTCCACCAGTTGTACTAGTAGTTGTTTCTCCTGCAACTGTGGGTGTAACTGCTGCAGTGGTGGTTTCTCCACCTCCACTCGTTACGGCTGGGCTCGGTGTGACCGAGGCTGTTGTAGCAGAATCTGAAGTTAAAGTATAGAGATCAACGTCAGGAAGGCTATAAAGTTAAGAATGTCGAAATTTCGGACACGGCAGACGCATGTAATAAGTCAAAAGGCATATTGTAGTTGCTAATGTGTATAGAGTAAAAGTTTAAGAGATTTGTCGGCTGAACTAATAGGGAAAGTAAAATAAGGTATTTAAGATAAATAACATCGCGTCAATGCACCTTGTGATGGATCCGAATTTTCACTCAGCTTGACACAACCACCACACAATTACACGACTTTGATACTTGTCTCTTTTGTTTGGTTTTTTTCGAAAATTTAGCATTTGTTTAAGTTCATGGAAGTGCAGGCGTATTTGAGATTATTCTACTAATACTTATAAAAAATTTTTCCCCTCCTTGATGATAAAAAAGTCTGATTGCAAAAATAGTTCAAAGACTAAGGCTCGGGGAAAATTTTCGTATGTAGCATGGGGTTACGCTGAAATTTAATTATTAGCTGAACAAGAGCAGAAGAGCTTTTCTGATGATTTCGGGTAACTTAGGCAGCCATGAGGTTAGCTTCGGAGGTCAAAAAAACCATCGAATATCCTAAGCTGTCTTGCTTGTCTTCAGAAAATTTGCATAAATAAAGTTTTAATGATTCAGAAAGTAAACAATATTAATTTTTGTTTATTTACCTTCAGTCGTTGTGGTTGGGCTCGGTGCGATCGTTGTTGTTGTAGCAGAATCTGAAGTTAAAGTATAATGATCAACGTCAGGAAGGCTATAAAGTTAAGAATATCGAAATTGCGGACACGGCAGACACATGTAATAAGTCAAAAGGCATATTGTAGTTGCCAATGTGTATAGAGTAAAAGTTTAAGAGATTTGTCGGCTGAACTAATAGGGAAAGTAAAATAAGGTATTTAAGATAAATAACAGCGCGTCAATGCACCTTGTGATGGATTCGAATTTTCACTCGGCTTGGCACAGCACCACACAAATTACACGACTTTGATACTTGTCACTTTTCTCTTTTGTTTGGTTTTTTTCGAAAATTTAGCATTTGTTTAAGTTAATGGAAGTGCAGGCGTATTTGAGATTATTCTACTAATACTAATAACAAATTTGTTCCCCTCCTTGATGATAACAAAGTCTGATTGCAAAAATTGTTCATAGACAAAGGCTCGGGGAAAATTTTCGTACGTAGCATGGGGTTACGCTGAAATTTAATTATTAGCTGAACAAGCGCAGAAGAGCTTTTCTGATGATTTCGGGTAACTTAGGCAGCCATGAGGCTAACTTCGGAGGTCAAGCAAACCATCAAATATCCTGAACTATCTTGCTTGTCTTCAAAAAATTTGCATAAATAAAGTTTTAATGATTCAGGAATTAAACAATGTTAACTTTTGTCTATTCAGCGCGGAGAAATGTCAGTGGAGTATTTAGTTTCCATTTCTTTTTTGTAATCATGCTTACATTAACCATAGTTAGCAGAAACGTGCAGAGTTGTTGTAAAACTCTTCTAAAAAAACAAAAAAATGTTTGGTTCATGAAAATCTTCTTTCGCAACCAGTAGTGGGTCATTGAAAATTCTCGGAGAGGGGTCTTTAAGACCAGAGGTTTTGAAGAAAAGTGTGGAGCAAAACTGGAATTTTTAGAAGGGTACTCAAAGAAATAAAGCCTCCATCCCTCCGTGAAATAAGTATGAATACTTTTTGTAACAACACAATATTAGACAAAAACGTTACTAACTATTTCTTAATTGTTAAATTAACTGCTATTCTAATATATATGAAGAATACATGTGAAGAAAATCACAGTGCCATGCAAAAAAAAAAACGAATAACTGTGACATTCACGTCAATCAACAGGGTGGCTTGTATTTAACAGCTGTCCACTTTCAACTTCTCACAAATGTGAATGAAGAAGTGGAAAGTCTTGGAAAACCTACTAAATTTATGATCTTTTTGAGACAGAGAAACATTCTGTCAATAACAATGATGAACAGGACCACAGAAACAAGGTTTTAAAAAGTCAAATTCATGGGTGATCCTCTCAGTAAGTAAGTTCTTATTCACTGTCGTTGTTTGTGTTGGATCAAGAGGGACTGGGAACGGGTCACCTTGTATCGTCATTATCAATTGAGGATGAATTTGCATTGTAATTATTGGCCTTCCCACTTGTGACAGGTGCAACTTCATAACAAATACACTTCTGCTAACGCTTTTGCATTTGTTTGCTGGTTTTGCTGCTCCAGTTGAAAGGAAGCATTGATCTCTACTGTAGTGCGTTTGATTGTGGATTTATCGAAATCTTTTTGTTATAGTTGTTCCTTTTGTTACAAACAAGATTTATGTCTACGTGGACGTTTGAAATATCAAGACAACGGAAATTATTTTAAGGCTTTTGATTTTGTTCGCTTGATAACATTTGCTGCTAAATAGGTCTGGGTTTATTTGATTCTAAATAATGACGTTTTTCGAAAAAAGGCGTATCCTTTTGACTGGCTATTATTTTTTAACCTTGAGGGGAAATAAAGATTCAAAAACAATACCTATCAAAGAAGGGCCTTCCATTTCCTTTTCCTATTTTTTATTTGGGTTTTGGTTACTGTTGCGTTTGCTGAGTGAAAGTATTCTTTTCTCTCTCATTTGACTGTAAAATCAGGAAACAGAGACCTTCAACGTCTTTCCTAAGACTAAGGGGATTAATAATCTTCGTAAGGTTTGGCGGTTCAGCTAATGTACACGCGTTTTTCTGAGGCTTTGACAGCGATGACCTTTAAAGTTGGATAACGTGACCTAGAATGATTTAATTCATCGAACCGGCCGGCTAGAATACATTTCATACGCAATGATCTTCAACATTCCGCCCTTTGTCCTCAATTTTTTGTTATCATATTCTCCATTTAAAAAGAAAGCGAAATTGTGTTAGAATAACAGTTAAGTGAATGGGCGGGATGTTACTCAGAGGGCGATATTGGACACACGCCGGCGAAGTTATTGATACATATCGGTCAATGATCGATTCTCGGATGATTATTAAAAATAAATCCTGAATATCCTTTTTCGCTAATCACTGCTCTATTTTTCTGAAACGGCCTCTTTTTTAATGAAATACCTATTTGATAACCAACAAGTGCATCGAAAATGGTCACGATTTTAAGTATTTTGTTTCCTTGGTTACCTTGAAATAAACACCTATTCTGTCATCGTTGTTAGGGAAAAATTACCTATAATTCAGCAAGGAGAAACCAGCAGGAAATTTCCTTCCTGCGTGAGCAAGAAAAACTACTTGGTTATGTTTTTGTCAACTCAGAATATTCAATATAAATATGCTCAGAAAATATCTGCATTACGTAATTTTGGAAAAAAGAGAGCGGGTATCCGTGTTTTCAATCTTCTTTGTTTGCAGAAACACCGGCTTTTCTGAGACATGCATTTGTATAGTCAGTCTACAGTCTTACTCTGGTCAAAATTATAAATTCAATAGCGATGCAGTAACGATCATACGAAAGCAAGCTTTTTTAAATGCGGTTTAAAGCGAGTTATCCGCGCTTAAAATTTGGGAAATCTGTAGAGGGTTAGTTTTAGGTAACTTGCAACGAACGATGCGATCAACGTTAACCTGGAGTATTATTAAAAGACCTGGAAGTATCATGACCATCATTACTAACAAAGCTGTGGAGAACTTGCAAACTTTTCATAGAACAGCACAATGGCTTCTGAATGCAAATCAAGTCCTCTGTACAAGTAACTTCAAAGATATACCAGGTTATAAGTGCAAGTAAGTTACAAGTAGTTGTGGGCACGAAGTCTCTCCACAACTTAAAGGAAAGGATAAGAAACATCTTAAAGATGTGCCTTGAAGATACGTTCTACGTATACCACCGCGCACACACCCATTATATCGTTTTTTTTTCTATGGGCGACGAATTTAAGGTTAAAATCACTATGATGAAAAAAAGTGAACTCTTACCTCGACAAAATAGACAGCCCTGAAAGATCATTACGGTCAATATGAATGCGACCTTCGCCATCGTTTAGTGTAACGTTATCAGCGGGGACGTCTTTTGCAACAACTTTTAACCAGTTATACTCGGAATGTTACTAAAGAGAAGAAGGCACCAGATAAACAAAAGTAATTCCGGTGAATATGGTGAAAATTATGGAAAAAATTCCCGCGATCTTTATACAGGTAGATTGGGTGTTTCACTCACGCACGTTTGAATAAAAAGTGAAGGGCAAAGGTGGTTCACTTGCTTCTTTAATTTTGTCGAGCACGTCACAATTACCATAGCAACGTCAACAAACACCAGCTGCACATTATCCTCATTATTTCCTTTTTTATCACTTGGCCATGTTTTGGTATAAGAAAATAAAGTAGATGAAAACATTATCTAAAATTATTGTCCTTCACAAACACCGTTCTTGCACTATGTTTTCGTCTGCGGTTGTGGAGAAACAACAAATTGATTTTTCGGGTCAACACACCTCATCGAATACCTCATGGATCAAGTCAAAAGCGGAATTTTATTTAATTTGTCGATCACACGCTATTTTTCCCTTCGAGAAAGTATGAATACATTAATAACATCACAACTCGTATTTGTAGGAATAAGCACAGTTAAATTGAAACTGTTTTGAGGATCCTTTCCCTTCGAGAGGCGAATGTCATTACCTTCGCCTATTATGCAGAAAACATTGTCTTTAAAATGATCGGCAAATATTAAAGGATTTGAAAGGGATGTTGTGTTTTCGAACCAAGCTGGTATATTGATGGCCACTGGGCAAAACATAGTCCAGCATTTTAAGCAGCCGTTATGGCCTCAAGCCTAGAAGTTTGAAACTGTTGTTACCGGTATGTTCCAATTGAGCAGTTTTACGAGACGTATTTTCACTCAGTTATTCCAATTTTGCAAGACTCCGTTTATATGTCCGGCCGAACCTTCTAGTTTGTCAATTATTCAGAAAGATGTCTAACTGGAAAGACTGACTATTAATAGAGCTAAATTACAGCTTATTTTTTCGCTTCTCTTTCGAATCTTTTCATGCATCTTTGATTGGTTATTTAGCATCAACATTGGTCGTGATGCCTCAGGCTGGGTCGATTAGGCAAAGCCAGATACAATATTAATGCATATCAAATCTGATGGCCAAAGTTTCATTACTTCGCCGAGTAAATGGAAAAAAGCTATGTAAATTTTATTTTTTAAAAAAGACAGACTGGCCAACATCGTGACAGTTCTGCTAAGAATCAACGAAGCGTAACATCTTTGTAATTATGTGCGTAAATTACATCTTTGTAATTACGTGCGTAAAAAAAAAACGCACTCAATTGTTTTTAGTTCGGCTGAACTCACGCAATAAAAACTCACGGGAACTTGTATTATCTATCAATTCTAAATCAATCAACGCACAGTTTAAACCTTATTTTAAACAAGAGATAGAAGTTTACAGAAAAAAGTTCTTGTTATTTGTCTGCTGTTTACTGGCACCCTGCGATTTCTTATTGACGAAGTTGATGGATCATGCCACGAGTTCAAATCCGCGCGAGGGGTTCATCAATGTAATGTTTATTATTCGCTGTAAAGCCTCTTTTAATCTTTGTACAATTAACTGTGCAATAAAATCTTAAAGTCCAAGAGAACGCTAACGTCACACTTGAGTCTCGTTTATGGGCAGTCTCTTTTTTTAATTAGCCATGGACCAGTGGCCTGAAACTGTAAGTCGTTTATCTCCGAAAGCCTAGTCATAAAATCGCTCCAAGATTCCCGTGATCATAATTGTTTCTTGTAATTTCTGTTATGCTGACAAAATTGTACTCAGCCTTATCATATTGTGTCGGCCAAGAGACACGAAATAGTTGACTTCAATGCGGAGCATTTTCCTGTTACGTAGAACAGAAAAGCTGACCTTGCCGGGCAGTTGTGCTCTAAATCACGTGCACGATAGGATGTGTTTGGATATGACGCCGAAAAAGAAAACGCTAAAACAAACTGTTTGCAATTTATCAATAATTGAATGTATTCAGTGAATGCTACTACGATGCATATATAGCAGATATATTCAATTCGATTATAAAAGAAAAGAATCAAAAGCTTACGCAACATAAAATAAGGCTGTGATAAATATTCATTCGAACTCGATTTTACATATAAAGCTTAACGAAAAACGTAAAGCCTTAGGAATTCAAGGAAGTGCAAAGAGTTTTCTTTGTTCAGTTACAGCGTGATATCATGATGAAACCCACGAGTAACACTGTGTTTGTGTGGGAGATGGGGGTCAAGAACTAACTCCTTTACGGTCGATTTGTTTTGTCATTGATGCAATCACTGAGTAGGCGTTAGAGATTCTTTACGGCCACGAAATACATTTTACTTACAATCAATTCACCCTCATTTTCACAAACTGATTGAGCCAAGTTGCATTTATCTAAAAAAAGTTAATGTTTTCCGAAAACCAGTCCCACACAATTTACATCAGTGAAAATAAGTGTTAAGAGGAAATTTCACTTCACTGACTTTGACAAGGTTAAAATGCAAATCAACCGGCACTTTTTTTTAAAGATCTAATGGTGTAACAGCTCAGTGTTGTAGTTTTTGTTTCAACGTGTTCCATTTCAATAGATATATGTTTCTAAAGTTCTTCAGTTTTTAAAAGACCGAATAATGTATTCAGCTTGAGTAAAAAAAAAACATAGCGACCGATAAATCATTTTTAATTAACTTTATCACTGATTGATGATGCGAGGCCAGAAACCAAGCTTGAAGTCAAGAACCAACGTGTGCTCGACTGTTTCGTGTACATGGAACACAAAAAATACTTGAGCTTTTGCTACTCTTGTTACTACTTAGTAAGAGTACAAACAAACATCAAAACTAACTGACAATTCATACTTTTCGACAGTTAATGACCGAGACTCTTCAAAAAACTCATTACTGATATTGTGAGGTCGGAAAAAGCTTGTTTTTGAGAGGCAACCTGTTTGCTTGTTTTTGTTCAATTAATTTGACGGTTTTGATTACGAAATGTGAAAACGCATCCTTCTAATGACTCAGCGAAATTGTGCTCAACGCTGAATGCATCAGTGCACTCAGCTAAGACGAAACTTTTCATCACGGAGTCAAACCACCAAGGTCAGGAAGGACAGGAAAGAAAAAAATTTTCTTCCATAGGTTTTATCGTCCAAATTAATCAATGAGCTAACCTATCTAAAAGGAAAAAAAATCAGGAAAAATGTCATGTCGCATTTCGTCATGATACGCTTGTGTGACGCTACCCACTCTCATTGCATCACGTTCTGTCTATTTTAATTTGGGGGAGAAATAGTGAAATCATGAATAATTTTCCGCGGGGCACCCTTAAATTCGCTGTACGTGAATGAAATCCTACACTACGCAAACAGGTACCAAAAATGCGTTTGCAAGCATGCCCTGTGCTCGAGAGGACATGCGGGACTCACTTTCAAATCTCAGTTCTTTAGAAGAGTTTTTGCAATAATGAAAACTTGTATTAGACTTCTCATGGACCATCGCCTGTAAGTTACATTTAACAACTTCACTCTAAATCCACTAATGTTAAAATCCATGTTCTTCCAAATCATATAATCAATCGATTGCTACAATTTTAAACAAAACATAACCGTCGCCGTAAGGACATCCTCCAGACACCGCCGTCCAGTTAGCATCAGGCGGGATAAAAGACCCGCCTCCTCCGGCATGAAGATCAAGGTTCTTACTCTTGCCATCGACTTGCACCCCACCACCAGAGTATCCACCCCCTCCTCCACAATTTCCCCCGCCACCGAATCCTCCTGTGCACTTGTTTATTTTGCTGTATCCACCCCTTCCTCCTGTTTGAAAAGATTTGCCTCCATCTTTCTGGTCACATGGTTTGTTACAACTGGACGCCCTATAGCAGCGCCCATCCGTGAGAAGACCTCCACCACCTCCAACACCACGTAAGTCTGCATCATTCCCCGACATGCAGACCTTCCCTCCCTTTCCTTTTCCCCCAGGATTGACGCTACCACTCAACCCGGCCTGACCAGGATCACCATCTACCAAGTCAGCTGCGCCACCCCCGCCAGACACAGCCAATGGACTGCCATTGCCTGCCAAAACAACAAAAGTTCCTCCTCCGCCACCTCCACCCCGTTTGCCTCGCTGCCCTACTAAAATTGTCAGCTGTATTCCCTGTTGAAGATGGATCGTCCCATTTAGTTTTGCTCCTTTACCACCGGTGGTATTAAATCCCTCGTGATTCCCACCTGTAGCTCCGCATAACTCGAGGTAATACGTGGCCGACAAAGGAATGTCCCATGATTGCAAACCGTCTTTCACTAAAATCCCCTCCAGTGATGTACCCTGGTACAGCGCGTTATTTACTGGCCCAGACTTACCCGTTGCACCCAGTGTAGTGAAATGATATTCGATATCTAACAACACAACAAGGAAAACCTTTGCTCAGATAGGAAACGAAAAGTTCTGTCTATACACTTTAGACGTGCAAAAAATGAAAACTTCATTCCACCTTTTACATGCATTAATTTATTTGACTATGAAATAAAAAAGCATTAAGCATATGGAGCATATCGGTACACGCACACCGTGAATACTCTGATAATATCAAATGAAATAAACTTTCATGTCGCGATACATTGGGCTTTATAACAATGTTACCTACCTATCTTCTTTTCGCACATGTCCCCAAACCACGGAAGTTTGCATTTGCACCGATATTTTTGTTTGTCGTTGTTGTAATTGCAGAGGCCTTCATTGAGACAGACCATCTGGTTGCATTCGTCCTGAATCAATGGTAAAATCGTCGGAAAAATAAATGAAGGTAAACAAAGCTACTGGACTTCACATAGAGTCGCATCTGTAACAATGTACTAACTCGGAGCTTATATCTACTTACAATAGCTCAGTATTACATTTCAAAGCTCCTCAGAAATTTGGTAATGGTCATGATTGACATTTGGCAGCAAAAGGTTCTCGTTTTTTATAAGTGAGATATGGAAATGAACAAAATCAGAAAAATATTTCGAGAGGAATGAGATATGGAAATGGGGCACACAGGAAAAACAGTTTAAGAGACGAATATCATCTAAAAATTAATTAACCAACAGAAACTGAAATCTCAAGATATTACAGTAAACATGTAAAAGAAGAACTTTGTCACCCACCATAACGTTGATACTACTTTGAAACACTGGAGAGTAGGCAGAATATGTAAATCCTTCCGCGTATATCAATTCATCGCCAGAAATTAAGGAATCACCGCCGTGGTCATTTAACTCACACAAGAGCTTATTCTCCGCTGAGGAAATTCCAAAGTTCGTGGACACGCATCTGGTCTCCATCAAGCACGAATGAGCGCAAGACAATGACGTAGAACCGTTTAGAGTCCTAATCTGGTGGCCATTAAGCCTGTGATCCAAAACTGTTTTAATAGCACCCTGCATGTAGCGTTGTTCGAAGCTGCAAGAAATTCCAAAAATATGAAGTGCAGTAACAAGAACCCACAGAAAAACAGGTGAATTCATCTCGAAGACCACTCAATATCATATAACTAAGAGAAAACTCATTATAGTTAAGACTGATCGTTTCTCTTAAGGCACAAGGTGTTGTAATGGCCACTTGCGTATATTGTCTATGAAATCAGTTGCTTTTTGAGCAAACACTGATAATTATGCTTTCCACTGACGTTAAAACTTCTCTTCGATACAACAATGGAAGTGCCAGATACAGTAAACAATAAAAGGGAAGCTTAAAAGCTGTGGTCGAACAAAACACATTAACCTTTGCTTTAAGTAACTGGTGACGTGTCATTAGGTCAGACTAAAATAACTGTTTCAAACTCTGGTCACCAACTCTGTATCCCGTCTGTTTTTACAATCGCCGATTTCAGTAGTAATAATGGTAATAATAACAATTATGATTAAAATAATAACTTATTATTATTATTGAGTAGTAATTTCAGCGTTTTTTTTCTTAATTTTTCAATTTCCACTGTTAAATTAATACTCCTGTTAAAAAAAATTCCCTAATCTTTTAAATTGACTGTTTTACTTTTATCGCAATTTTTGGGAGTTAATTTATCAATTCAGAATAAAAGAATTACGATGATAGCTCAAAAAACTGGAAAATAAAAAATAAAGATACTAATAATAGTTACGACAATAATAATAAATAATGATTATAATAATGCCGGAAAAACACTGCGTACCCAAAGATGTCTTTAGAGATGCACCTTTTAGCAATGCACATGTCCAAAAGTCAATTTAAAAAGTAAGATCGTGTCAACATTTAAATTACAATTTAATAAAAAAATTGCACCATTTTAAGAAAACTTATTTAGTTTCATTTATATTTTAATAAATCAAAATCGTCTGCCGATTATCTGACAGTTGCCAAGGAGAAGTATCAACAAGATCAAAACGTTCCGATAGAACGTCGAAATTCTGTCTTCCATTTACCTTAAAGTATAATGATACATTGAAACAAAGTAAACATTATTAAGTTCAAATCAAGGATAAAGTGTTTCACCGAGGAGAATTCAGCAGGATGTATGTAAGATCCCTGGGTTAAATTTGCAAAGCACTCTTCAATCATGTTCGTCAAAGCTATTATGGCCTTGGTATCATATTTCATTGTCTTCGGATATTTGCTTCACTTGCCACAATGTTCAGCCTGGAATAGAGGACAGAACAATTTATCCTTTAATGGTGCTCTCTTCTGCCGTCAAAACTTTGCACTGAAAACGGACATTTTAAGAAAAGTTAAAACTTTCGGGGAGATTCAATGTGCGTTTGTTTGTTTGTCTGAAAACGACTGTGTCGCACAAACGTACTGCGACGATTCGCCAAGGAGAAAAAATCCCAAAGGAACATGCTATTTACATGAAAACGGCGTTAAGAACGAAGAGAACAGTGCCCGTCTCGTAAAAAGCAAGAGATGCACCTTTCAGCAATACATGGATTTAGACGTAAGTCAACAAATTTTTAGTTTTCTGTTGACGAAAATATAGATAAATTCTCTTCTAAATGTTTCATATCTTCTGGTAGCGATAAAGATGTACTAACAACCACATCAAATTAGGTATCTTTGATGAGAAACTTTACAATTCAAAGGATTTCACAATTTTTTTATTCAGGATCTTAGTATTAATTAAGTGTCTTAGAATTTACTTTTAGTCGGAAAAAAGCATTCTGAGCGCAGGGCTCAAATCAAAAGTGATGAACTTTCTCTCCTCAATGTTCATTTTCATAACCGCAAAAAAACCGAAAGCAACTAAGTAAGGAAAACCTTCGCGTTTAATTGTGCCCTGCCATGCTTTAGTGAAATTTTATCGCAAGGAAAAATTATATAAAGGGAGGTAAATGACAGGCAAGGCAGTGTCTAGCAGTATTGATTTATGTACAAGATTACAATCGGATCTTAGACAAACATTGTGTTTTTAGCGCTTAAATTGCATGCAAATATTGGCTTTAATCATCATAGGTGCCTAACACATGTTTTCAACCGCAAAAAAAAAAACAATCGTCAGCTTATCTGAGGCTATGAATGAAAACAAGTAAATGAATTGTTGCCATCGAGAGCGTAATTTATCTTACTTCTTCGAGTCGTATATAAGGCCTTGAACGAGCATTGATTGCATGAAGGATCGGATTCCAGGGAATGTGAAAAAAAAGAAAAGGGTAGATTCTCTGAGGCGGGGTGTTGTAGTTTGCAGTAAACACTTTGTTTCTACTAGTAGTTGTAACAAGACATCAAAGAAATCAGAAGGTTACAAAATTAAGATCAAATATTGCTACATAACGGAAATATAAACGGCCAAACATACAAACAAGGTTATGACGTGCATAAAAACACAGAGTAAAGTAGATTAGTCAGGCAAAGATCCATACTAAAAAATATCGAGCGGGCTGTAAAACATACTAGACTGGCCCAATATGAAATAACTTTATGGGTTTACTGCTGATACTGCCTTTAATCAAAAGCAACTGTTCGAGATTAGGGTGTTATGAATCTTGCAGGAGGTCTCTTGCTCAAGAAAATGTCAAAATGGTATGAAGTGTCAGTACGACTATGATACCAGAAAATGCCAACGCAGATGTGAGCCGCCCTACACAGGAATTGATTGCAACCAGCTTCAAGGTAGAATCCTCAGCGCATTACATTAAGCATTTCAAGAGCTGCAACACTTTTTCTTAACGCAAAATTGTGTAAATCAAGAAACCAGTAGCTTCGAACAATACCAGGTTCACCTCATCCTCATCAAAAAGTAGTTGCAAGCTGTACCTATGGGATGAAAAATAATTTGATTTATGTCCTAATGGGATTTGGGGAGGCAGCAGTTGTGGAGGCGCTCGCCCACCACAGCTGGGGTCTGGATTCGATTCCCGAAGTTGTGGGTTGAGTGTGATGAGTGTTCTCATCCGCGCTCCACTTATTTTATTCACAAAAACCAAAACTCAACATTTAAAAAAAAAATAAAGGGTCGCAGACGAAGAACCATTAGGCATCTCTATAATGATGCCCTTTATAACTAAAACTTTGTCTCTCCAATTCACTCGTCGTCCAAATGGGATCGATATAAAGGGAATCCAATTTATTGTGCACTACAACAGGAAGTGAGATTTACTTTGGTTTTATTCCAGCCATATCCTTTCGTTTCACCACTCTTGGTGCACAAGGTAACTCTGGGCCAATATCGACTGCTGAATATGTGAACACGTCACTACAGGGAACGGTAACACTCGACAAAGGGGTCCAGATCTGGAGAGTGCCATTCACTGCTCTTTATAGGCTCAAAGTCGCTGGGGCTTCAGGAGGGAAGGCGTCATCCTCAGGGGGAAAGGGTGCAATCGTAGCAGGAGTGTTGCTGCTAACGAAGGGAACTGTGCTGCACCTTTTGATTGGTCAGAAAGGACTTCCAGGAAGTTCTGGTGCAGGAGGAGGTGGGGGAACTTTCGTAGTTTCTAACAAAAACACGCTTTTGGTAGCAGCAGGCGGTGGCGGCGGTGGAGGTGGTCATATTATCTCAGAAGACGGAGATGATGGTCAAGCGACCAAAGCTGGCAGCGTTTATGGTGGTGTAAATGGTTTGGGTGGATCAGTGTGCGCTAGAGAGGACAACAATGCAGGGGGAGGAGCTGGATTTCAGGAAAATGGCAGATGTAGCCGCAATGTGTCATGTTCCTTAACTCCTCATCCATGCAACGAGTCCGGGTTGGCCTATGTAAATGGTGGTCTGGGTGGCAATGGGAATGGTGTTGGAGGATTTGGCGGGGGTGGGGCGGCATACAAAGATTTTGGCGGAGGCGGAGGGGGTTATTCTGGAGGGGGAGTGCATGCCACGTCTCGGGGTTCACAGGCAGGAGGGGGTGGATCTTACTGGCCCGAAGGGCGGTTGAAGTCAAGCAATGAAACCAACTCTGGCGACGGATACGTATTGATAGATTTCAATAACAGTTTAAATTAAGAAAACAATGATTGATTCGTTGATCTCTCTTCTTTTAAGTCTTTGTATTCCATTGCTATATGTTACCAACGCGTTAGTGGAAAATTATTTGTGTCAGGGCGCTATTTCAGGATTGATAGATCTGAAAGAGAGCTCTACCAGCCGCACAGTGTATGGGCATGATTAATTTTATGGGGCAAGCAGTCGGTCCATCTACAACTTATGGCGCGAATCTCCAGTTCAGAAGACAGGTGGAACTTTTGGCGGTAATACCACAAAAACAAATGTTACGTATCGATGCTCATTGGCCAATTGCAAGGTGGCGTTCATGCACTAACAACAGAGTTTAAAATTCTGTTCTTCAAATCAAAAGGATGTTTTATAGTTTTTTTTGTTTGTGCGAATGAGCAGAAGAGGGCATATTAACTGTAGCGAACCAAAAAGAAACTATGTGACCCGATATAAATTAGCTCTGTTATCGCAGGCCAAGTAGCTGGAGGGGGGGGGGGACATACTCTCACACCTTTTATTGGTCTGCATAAGCTCAATAATAGAGTTGAAAAAGAAGACAAGTTGCAAGGGAAAGTGAGGACCAGCCGACATTTTTGATGTAATGGATTTCTTATCACGCTCCTTGATGCGTTAAAACAATTAGTTGATTCAGTCTTATGTTGCACAATACAGTTACCCACTCCAAAATCGCTGGAAAAATGTAGCGCAAACACTCATCTTTATCACAAAAGCAACAGATCTTAGAGTAACTTTATTTTTCTCTGCATGTACAAAAATATAACGAACAAAAAACGTCAATTATATAAGGAGAGAACCCAAAACTAAACAAATGGGATCTCAGAAGGAACAGATCTTGAAATAATTTCAATTTGTTTACATATACAAGAAAAAACCTATCAAATCTGTCAATTCGATACGTAGAAAACTCAACAAAGACGGAAAACTTCCGCCAAGATGTCTTGCATTTAGAATAAGTTAAATATATCACATAAACATAAATGTGCAACGAATAAAGTATTTCTTAAAATGAAAAATTTACGCCTGAAGTATTGAGTAAATATAGGAACACAGTTTAGATCGAGAAGATGGCTGAGAGAGCTGCGTTGATTCATGTGTTCACATCCACATGTGCCTTAGTTGTTTTAGGAGAATCGCTACAGTCATTGCACTGGAAACGTTTGAGTGATAGCTTATACTTTGATGGAGCAGTTTTACTCCGGCGTGACTTTGCATTTAAAAGGGACATCTTAAGAACAGTGAAAACATCGGGGGAAGTTCACTGTGGCCTCGCCTGTTTGTCTGAAAGTGACTGCATCGCACAAACGTACTGCCGCGAGCCGTGGCAGAAACTCAAGGGAACATGCTATCTGCATCGAAGAGGAATCAAAGACGGGCTGGCTGAAGATGCCTTCGTGAAAAGCGATGGATGTACTTACCAACAATACATAGATTTTCACGTAAGTACATTTTGCATTACATTTGTAATAAAGTAATTTTTAGTATTCATTTAAAAAAAACAGAAAAACAAAAAAAACAAGGAGCAAGTAATGCGGAATTATTTTCAATTTAAACTATTCATTTACCGTTTCCATTTGTCTCCAACAAATGACGAATTCTCAATGATTCTCTGGACATTGATTATTTACAGTGGAAATAATTAACAGTTTGGGCAAAACAAACATGCTGTAAGGATCAGTGAATTGGCCCATCGGAATAAACATTCACCCGACCAAAAACCGAAGAGGGTTTGATAATCAATTCAAGTCGAATTTTGAAAGCAGTTCAAGGCCCAAATTTCAGAGTAAAGTACAAATGCAGTAAGAATTACTGAATTGGCTGGCGTATCGGATAAACGTCTATCTAACTAAAAACGGGGGAAGATGTGATAAACAAGTCGAATTTGAAGTCGTTAAAGAAGAATTTAAGGCATAACTTTTCCATTGCGGTATTTATTTTGTTTCTTAAATCATTAATTGTGGTCAAGAGACCGAACGATAAAAGAAGTGAAGTTTTTGATTTCCAAGGAAGCTCTCATCGTAAATATATTTCTGAAAACTGCCATAAAACTTAAAGAAAACAACTTGCTGAAAGAAGTACTGAAGTACCAATTTTCTGAGCAATGACGAGAGAGGAGAAATAAAACAGCTCCGTTGATTAAATAACAGAGACTAATGAGAACACTTTCACGAGGTTGTGGACGGTGTTCAAAAAATAAAAACGATTTGTAACGTGTGTAACCTTTCCTGTCAGACGCCTTGCTCAAGCAAATGTCAAAATGGTCAGACATGTAGCTATGACCATGATAACAGACGATATGCTTGCCTCTGTGAGAAGCCATACACTGGAATGTACTGTGAAAAGTCTAAAGGTAACATTTTAACAACCTAGGATGAGATCAGTCTTGCAGAGTTGTCACAGGTCCACCTTCGTCTGCTCCATTTTCAGATTGGGTTTAAAGAAAGCTTCCTGAATATTTTTACTCTTTCAATTTAGTAACAAAGTGAGGTAAAGCGAATTAATGTTCTTAAAGAGCAGCAACGTTTCTTTAATTGTCGCCCAATAAAAACTCCAGCCTCAAAGAACATTGTCATTCGACATAGCGAGGTGATTATTAGTTCCTACATTCCCTCACAAATGCTTTGTTTTCTTTCTGTGGCTGAAAAGAAATTTGTCAATTTTCATAAGCACAAGAACTTTCCCCTTGTTTTCTGCAAGATTTCAGTGATGGTGTACACAACACTGTATGGTAGAAAACTCGAAGGCTTTGATTTAGGAGTAGTGGTGGTAATAGCACTATTTAAACTTGAGATGATAACGCTGTCACAGTTTTTTTTTTAAAAATCCAATTTATTACGTTATCTTTTAATATCGATTATTAATCCATTAATGCATTGTTCCTTTGACTTCCTTGTTGTTTCAGCAATAGCCTTTTATTTCACTTTCCTCGGTGCTCAAGGCAACACTGGGCCGACATCAACAGCTGGATACAAACGCACGCCTCTAGAAGGGACAGTAACACTCAACAAAGGAATACAGATCTGGACGGTTCCATTTACCGCGCGGTATAGTTTCACTGTGGCTGGGGCATCAGGAGGGAAGGGATATGAACCAGGAGGGAATGGTGCAATTGTAAGTGGAATTGTGAGACTTTTCAAGGGTACTGTCCTGCACCTCTTAGTTGGTCAGAAAGGTCTCAAAGGATCTTCCGCTGCAGGAGGGGGTGGAGGTACATTTGTAGTTTTCAGTAATAATACCCTTTTTGTGGCAGCTGGCGGTGGGGGTGGTGGAGGGGGTCAGATAACATCAAAGGTTGGCGATGCTGGCCGAAAAGGAACAAATGGAAGCGTTTACGGAGGAGTCAATGGCCTGGGTGGGAAAGTGTGTGCTGACGAGTTAAACTATGCAGGTGGAGGTGGTGGATTTAGAGGAGACGGGAAATGCGCCTTCAATATAACATGCGTTTCTCCTCGATCATGCAAGGAGGCTGGGTTCTCATATTTGAATGGTGGTGTGGGGGGCAAAGGAGATGGTAATGGGGGATTCGGTGGAGGTGGAGCGGCATATAACGCTTTTGGAGGAGGCGGAGGTGGGTATTCTGGAGGGGGAGTGTATGCCACATCGTTTGGTTCACGGTCAGGAGGGGGTGGATCCTTTGGCAATGGTGCACCCCTGTCAAGTAGTGGAGTATCACATAGTAGCGGTGACGGATACGTGTTATTTAGATACCCCTAGTATCAGACCAACATATTCGGTCGATCTCCCTTGCTATAAAATGTTTTGCAATATTTCGATGACACTAACTCAATGACCAAGAATCACGATAGGCTATGTTACCTTCTGAATCAGTTACATGATTAATAAACGTCAAGATAACCGGATAATGGCCAAGTTCATCTTTTGCATTTTAAAGAACCAAGAAGGGTGGAGGTGGATAGGGGGGCAATAGAATAGAAATTTATTCCTAAAAGAATAGAAATCTAAAAAGACGACGTTAGTTGCGAACCACTGAGGGTTTTCTGCGTAATGCCTTAACCACAGCTGCAGAGACCAGCAAATCACAACTGAATGGGAACGATCATAATGTTTCACGAATCCAGTTAACATTATTGCCTTAAGAAGACTTGCGGTATACAGTCGAAACGTTGGAATCACCTTGATGACCAACTGCATCCTTTTTTATGAAATCATGCATTCCTGCCGCTAACGTAACTGTCCAATGTGAACATATGCGTATGTGGTGTGAAGGAGAAGTACCTCTCATTTTTCATCAATAATCCCTTCGTTAATCGGTATTACATAAGATATCCCGAGTATTAGAGATTTTGTCATGGAATTTCCAATTTTATTTAGAACGCTTATCCCAATTTTGAGCTATACAACGTTTGTTTCATATCGGTGCTTCTTACGCCCTATTCTAAACAACTGTGCTAACGTCACTCTTCCTCTCTGGCGTTGATCTCCTCGGGCGGGTACTGTTCGCCCGAGTTCATTTAATACAAAAATGGTATCGCAGGTAACTCGTCACCCTTCATCAATAGATGAACACTGACTATTGGCTTGTCCATCATGCCACAAGGGTTCTACATTCACGCCATAAGAAAGATCGACTTTCGACTTGCTTTGCCACCATCAATGATTAAATTCACTCTTGTTTTCGATATCACACCAAATTTGTGTGAAAAAGGGAAATTGTTGCAAGTCACTAGAGAAGGTGCATGATCTCTTATATTTCTCAGTAAAGGACTTGCACGATTGCCGAAGTACACATATCCACACGCAACCTGCACGCCAGGTTTGTAACTTGTTACAACCCTACCAGTAATTTATGATGGTTACAGTTCCTGGTGTGTCTGGAGAGGCAGTGACTAACTTGGTTTCATCAGCCCACATAAGGTGCAGCAATGTTGGGTTACGATGCAGCACGTTCAACAGCTTGCCCTCCTATAGGAAGGGAACAAAGAAAACGTTTGTCTCCCGTTTTATAAAAACTTAGAGAGTATATTTTTCCATTTGCTTATTTGAAAATAGAATCCAGTCAAGACTGTAAGAAAGTTACATTTTCACAAAAAATCCTAAACTATTTAAGGCACGGCATTTTAAGTCCATACCAGTTCAAGGTTACGGAGATGTGCTGTACAAAAGCTTAAATATAGTCTTTTGGCAAGGTAAGCCAACGCCAGTAGGGAATAGAATGCCGAGGATAGCGAAGACTAATAAGGGTAAAAAAAAATCTTGAAAAATAACAGGTTAAACGTTTCATGATACATACGCCAAAATTACGAAGTACTTCTTCAAACAGCATTACGGCATACCTTCATATCCCAAAGAGCGATGCGCTTCCGGTCTCCACCAGAAATGAGCCGATTACCTGAGAGGGACAGGCACCTGACCACCCCGATATGCTCCTCCAGTGTGTGAAGCAGGATACCTGCCAAACATATTAGTGACTGTTAAATAACAATCTAGTTAGAGTGCATCAAGAAACAAGGTATAACAACAAGAAATGAAAAAGTCACCTACCTTGATGACTCCATAATCGCACTGTACTGTCCGCCGAACCAGACGCAATTATGTCATCATTAAACTGTAAACAGTACTGGATAAAGTAGTCAAGAAAGTTTAAGAACGTGTTCATTCCGTGCACGTGAAATCAAAAGATGCGCTGGCTTCTTGGCCATTGGGGCGCCATGTTTGGTTTTTTCTAAATTTAAATTAATACACGAACAATCATGCCAAATACTTCCATATGAGGAATTGAACCTCAGTTCTTGCATTGCGCCCTCTGATGTTCGACTACTGAGCTACAGGGAGCTCTATAGCGATCTAGGGTTTTTACTAAGTTCATATGTGACGATCAGCAAAACGAAAACAGAGTGTTAGTGAATAGATTATGAAAGATGGTAATGTGTTCAGCATCAAACTTCGCGCACTAACTCCAACCAACACCTAAAAAAGGCGTTAAGACGAATTTACCTCATTGAAGGAAATCAGTTTTGCTTGATGGCCAAAATATCGTGCATAATTGTGTAAAACTTGTGTCTCTTCGTATTTCATACAATAAGCAAACTATGGATTCATCGCTTACCACTTCCCCTGTATGCCCAACCAAAGTGAATGTGTTATCTCCTGTCTGAGCATCCCAGATCTTTATCAAACCGTCACCTCCCCCGCTGATTATCTTCTTTTCGTTAAAGTCACAACAAAAAACAGCTGGCAATAGACGTTGTAAAAACTAAATATCAGAAAATTATGTTCGATATGTTGCGAAACATTTTCAGTTTTTACAGAGTAACAACAAAAAAAAAAAAATAGTGACGACTAAAAGGCAAAAATGTCCATTTTCTTCAATTGTTAAAATTGGAGTCCACCTGGGAGGATCATTTATTTGCTTGAACAAGTTCAGGTTCACATTAGCCCAGGCTGAACAAATACCGATAGCCTTTTTATCATTTACACTGCTAGTTACTACTTTGAGTAAAAAATTGCGAACAGTTTAGTGCAATCCCTCGGTGCTGGCTTACGAGAGCTATAAATCTTGCAATTGAAGTTACTTACCTTCCGTATGGCCTCTCAGTGTTAAGAGACAAGCGCCCGCTGTCACATTCCATAGTCTTATTGTTTCATCCCAAGATGTTGTGATCACGAGGTCGTCACGGGCAACCAATGCCTGACAAACAAAAGAAACGTTTTGATTGGTTGGCAGCTGTTCCAGTCACTTGACATACATAGCAAAATAAAGACTAACTTGAAAGAAGAGGGGACGCAGAGATCTGGCCCTAGTTGTACAAAGGGTGGATAAGGGTATCCACTGGATAAATCACTATCTGGTGGATAGCGCACTACGTTTTGTTTACAGTTATCCGCTGGATAACGATTTATCAGTTGGATAGCTTTATCGACCCTTTGAACAACTGGGCCCTGGTGGTTAATTCACTAGTTTGCAGATCGGAAGAAGCGAGTTGGAAGTCTCGACTGATTCGTGTATTTCGTTCTCAGTGAAGCACTTTACTCTCACAATGCCTCGATCCAGCCGGCAGTAAGAATGGATACCAGCAAACTTCAATGGACAATTGATGCAGGGGGTTTACATGCCAAGTAGCAGTAACAATACTGCATGTCGTTTTTAAGCCAAAGAAACTAAAATAGCCTTCATGAGACTTGACCGATGTTACTCGCACGATATCAGTACAGCATCTTAAAACTATTTAAAATTACCTGAATTTCATCTGAATGGCCAGTCATAGTGTGAAGAAGAGCACCAGTATCTGAATTCCACACCCGCACAGTTCTGTGTAAAAACGGGAGATAACCACAACTAAATAGATATCTTGAAATCATAACAGAGTGTAGTCCCAAATTTTACCTACTTACAGCCCTTACTCACAGGTCAGCAGATGCACTAATGATTGTACTTCCAACAAATGATAAGTGTTCCACACCCCCTGTGTGTCCTTGAAATGACCTGCAGTACACAAATCGTACATTTTGTTAGTCTACGAGTACACGGAAACAATAGGTAACACTTTGAGCGTACGTCGCACGAAAGTCTGACTGACGGGAGTGTTCAGAGGCTTAAAAACCATAAATTTTCTGAACTTTGCAAATTCCTTTTCCTTTCGCTAACGCTTATTAAATTTAAACGACAAACATGCAGTATAACTCAATATTAAATCATATTTTGCGTCATAGTTCCTTTGAAGCTCACGCTCATCGCAGTTTATCTACGTTGTCGTTAATAGACAACGAAGAATATTTCTGTCGTTGTTACAGATAAAGACCGTTGAGCTGACCCATGAAGTAGAAAGGACGGTGCTTAAAATTGATGAGGAGAAATGTAAGCCACTGTCAAGAAATCCGTGAATCAACAATGCAGTGAAGTGAATAGGAATGGAACAGAAAAAGTTCATCAAATTGTGCGTTTATAAGAGCTTCACTTCGCAAAGAATGTGACAGGAAAAATAGAATCCACGATAGTTTGAAAAAGGTTATTAACAGCATCTGTTGACGTACACACACCAATATTCGGCTAGATAACACCTTGGACTTGTAGGCGATGGAGATAAAATTGGCGTTTCGAAAGCGGACACTTTGAAAAATTTGAAAATTTGAGACTTCGTACAAGGAAAGACTTCAAAATGAAGAAAGTACGCATATGACCTAGATGGAAACCTTAGCGTGGATATCTGAAGAGGAAGATAGAGGTTTACCACTCACATTAAAGAGAAAGAAAAAACATTACACAAATACAGTTACATGTACACCAGAAGGGAGCCGGAGATGGGACCAATACTGGAGAACATGGAGGAGAAAAACAAAGGCATAAAGGAATAGCTGAATGGAAGACTAAGAGGAAGTTGGGAAATGCAGCGCCAGGCTTACAGAGCGCGAAGAAGGTAAGTAGGTTTTTCCTTTTGGCGTAATATTCTGAACATCACAAGCAAATATATTAATTCTCAATCAAACCTGAGACATCGTCCAGATTTCAGGTCAAACAGTCTGATCACTCCATCTGCGCACCCAGTAGCGCACAACGAATCCTGGGTCGACAAATAGAAGTGTCATTTAAAGGGGCAAAACTTTGATATCAAACAACAGTTTCCGTCTACATGAATCATGGCCTTTCACTTCGACTCAACATGACATCTTATGCAACCTGTAAAACTGATATCTACAATTCAATAAACTTCCTATTTGACCACTTAATCTCAAGTTACGCATTTTCTTTGCTTTTTGGTCTGTTTTCAGTTGGTTTATTGACTTATACACATCTGCTAGAAAACTATGACGGTAATTGGCTTCCTAGCTGGTGAATAAAGGGGGAAAGTTTCTAAAGAAACTGTGGTGCTGCGTCGGTGGGCGAGAATAACAGTGTAATTTAGCATCACTAATCAACTGAGTTGAAAACGTAAATTGGTCACCGTAAAGAGTTTAAAGGCTGACGTGTCGAGTGTTAGCCCTTCGTCAGATCTGAGGAAGACAATCGCTCTGACGAAGGGCTAACGCTCGAAACGTCAGCCTTTAAACTCTTTACGGTGGCCAATTTACGTTTTCAACTCAGTTGATAACACTAAATTACCTTCCTAGCGAGTGGTCTTGCAGGTTGCACAAAGTATATGGTAACCAACACAGCTTCCTCTTGGTCGATAATAGAGACTTTGATGTCTATCATTTCGTTGTTGATTTGTTATTTTCCTTGTTTCTTATGTATCACTTCAATTTCTTTCCTTCTTTTCTTTTATTTTGACTCACATCGACTCACCTTTAGTTGCACACATCTTACAGAGTCAGTATGCGGTGAGTCCAAAACAAGAATACACTTAGCAGTTTGGACATCCCAAACACGAGCTGTATTATCTGACGAGCCAGACACAATTGTGCTACCTGAAAATAAATGTCAGCAGTTGTAGAAACATAAATGGATGTAATTGATGCAAGCTCTATGTGGTATGCTATTTAGGACAAAAGTGAGAAAACTGTTTACATACACACTGAATATTTCTTTGAAAAGTTAGAGACAATGAATGGGATAGTCTCCAAAATGTACAATCACCGTATGGTTTAACCATTTACACACTGACATCAGTATGCATATTCTCCATACTGTTTTCTATACATTTCCTCACATGGTGACAAGGAGAATTTGTTTAACAATCAAAAGCTTCTTTAGTCAGTGATCAGTTCCTTTACTCTCCTGACCTTAATGTTTGATTCAGGGGTGTATGGTCAGGAGAAATTAGATGCCAGTCACTCTTAGGGTTAAAGGGTTAAAGAAATTTCTTAAAGCACTTGACTCACTATTGCACTTGGCATAATTAAAAATGTAATTTCATCATAAGTTAGCAAAGAAAAGAAAAACAGAGAAATCATAAGGACTTTTAAATCAATTAAATGGTTAAGAATATATGAAAGTCGCATATTTGAACTGCGGATAAAGACATGAAAGTGATCCTTGCAGTAATGTGCAGTACTTGGGCAGTGGTTAAAATTAGGCCTGAAAAAAATTCAGTGCACATTACTGTGAGGATCACTTTCATTCACATTTTAAATCAATTGTAAACATGAAGTTGCAGGAGTTTACCACAGGGTACGGGGGAAAAGGTACCAAAAGTTTACACCCAAGCCATGTGGCTTGCATGGTGCTGGGTCTCTGAAGTATGAAAATAGTAAGAGTATTGCTATTCCATCTAGATGGAATGCTAGTCCCTTCAGATTTTCCTTCACCATTTTTTCTTCCTTGACAGTTCACTGACTCTGATTTGAAATATTAACTGGAGAGGCACAGTGAAAGTAGCATATTAAAAATGCAATACATTGATTAAGCCTGGTCTACAACCCAGATCTCTTCACCCAAAGTCTGGTTTCGTCACTGTTAGGCCTCCATATCTTCATGGAGAGGGTCTAAGGATGGTAGAATATTTAAGACATGGTGAAAAGCTGATGGATTTGCAGTTTCCCAAGGGTTGAGAGTTCATATAGAAACTGGGCTGGGTATGAGTAAGGATTTAATTTCAGAAAAATGCAATGACTGCAATTCTCTAGGCAGCCTCTAAGTTTTCCTTTCAATTCTATAACCACTTAAAATGATTTAAGACATTTACCATCACAAGCCATGCAGGTGATAGGATCCTTGTGTCCTCTTAAAAGTGGCGCAACAGAGTATCTGCCTTGTTCCCAGTTCTTATCAAGTGAGAGGGCTCGAATATAGATCTGCTTCCAGCGGCAGGTGGCAGGCTTTAGTACAGTACATGTGTTATTTGTTAATGATGCATTTGACCCTTGAGAGGTTAACATATGACGCATTTGTAGAAGATCTTCTCCAAATCTGTCCCACCCCTTTTGAACACAGAAACGATACCTGAAAAACATTCATGTATATATATGAATAGCAGAGTCAGCCAGCCAAAGTGATGGTAAAAGAAATTGAAATCAAAATACAAGGTGTTAGGAGGGAATTACTGAAGAGCCTAATGTTCTCCATGCATCTTTAAAATTACAAAAGTGTCCCAGGGCTCATTTTTTTTCAAGAAAAATGAATTGGTTTGGCAGGAACAGCTTCTGACTAGTACATCTAAATTTTTACTTACACCAGCAGATAGTAACCAAAGAGCATTTTAAACTTTCATTACCAATCATTGGCTACCTTAGGTGATTTCACACTTAAACTAATGCTACACTCTTCATGAACTTTAATTCCTCTAAACTCCCATGGATCTTGATTTCTCAGACCATGACAGTTGCTAAAATACTCTGATAATTCCACAAGATTTTAGGATACTTTGAGCTTAATTTGGCTGATGCTGATTTTCCCTCCCCATTTAAACCTTTCAAGTGCTCTGGATATTTTTCTGAACAGTGTAAACCCACTTCCTTCCCCAGAAGGCATGAAAGATTAAGAATCAATTGTTTTGCATAACCTCAATGAGACAGAATTATTTGATAAGAAATTCTAGTCTGAACTTAAACCAAAAAATAAATGCACTTGCAGTAACAAAAAGATTAATTAAGGAATAAACACAGGTGCATGTATTATGTTGATTGCATGTAAACATACCAAAATGCATTATGATTTGATCTTTCCCTCCACAGTCTGTTGCACTGTGCAACACAACTGAGTGATTTTACAGACAGATATGAGAATATTCTTTCTGCCAATTCTTTTGGTAGAGATGTGACAAAATCTACTGCTAACAGTGGTTTTAACTCATTGTAAAGCAACCTCAGCTGAAGTGGCTGAAACACAAATAAAAAAAAACAAAAAAAAAAGACCAATAAATTAATAAGAACAACAATTAATATTATTAACAGTAACCCTGCTATTAATGATGTCTTTCCTAAATCATCTCAACTGTAAAGACAGTACTTTGCGACTGGCTTTGAGTAAAATGCAGAAAGCCTTGGAAATTGTGTGGTACTTCTGCAATCAGCACACATTTGGTTTCTTGTGTTCTTACAGTTACTACTGCTCAGACACGTTCAACCTCTCCAAATTTTGACTCTCATAATAACCTCTCCATATGCAGCTTTCATGGATTTCATCACGAACTTCATAATGTGGCCGTAAGTGCAAAGATCTGGCATGAAATGCCGGTCAACTGCACTCGTCATGTACATGTAAGGCTGTGTGACAATGCAGGTGGTCACTTGCAACCTAACTCCATTCATTTTCTATTCTTTCCAAATCTTAACAAAAGATTTCCTAAAAAAAGGCCAGTATTAATTAACAAAATCATTCCTTCCAAGAGGAGAAGTACTAGAGAATTTGAAGAAAGCCGGTGAGTGAAGAATTTAACTAATTACTATAACAACAGGTTACATGTACATGTGTACCCAGCTGATAGTGGTTTCGAGGATCAGATGGAGTCCTCGATGATGAGGCGTTTCTTTGATGCTACATACATGTAGTTCAGTCGTTAGCAGCGCCGATCCCTCGAACAGTATCAGCTTCAGATAGTGATAAATCAACTGTATAAGGCAAGCTTTAGATCAAACATAAACAAACCTGACAGGCGAGAAGGATTTGTTGCAAGACTTCGTTTTGCTGATCACGATTAAAATCTTTAAAAGTGTTCACAAACACTTTGGCTTTCTCTTCAAAACTCATTCTTCTGAGTAGAGAGGCATGGATGCGTTCTTCTCAAGTTGTTAGATTCACTTTTCGGAATCTTGATTTAAAAAACTCGAAATCTATATGATCACCCTTCCCCGTCATTGAGCCCGCGATTATTATGAGTTTTAGTCACGCTTTTCTTGCACTAAGTCACGCCTTCAAGTCACGGGAAGTCACGCTTCATCGTAAAAGAGGCGCACGATATTTTCAACTTATGGTCAGCAGTTTCTGGTGTCAATTCAACATGGAGGGCATTCCTATGTGGTTGTTTGTAAACAACTTGAAACCTGCCTCAACTCGGTGGCTGAAAACGATCTAGAAGGCTCCTTTAATTCAATTTGACTGCTGAGAAGGATGATATTCCTCTTAAACTGTGTTTTTTAGAACGGATCGCCCTACATTTCTTGACCTTGGCACACAGAAGGAGAATACAGAACATTCTGAATAGTTACCAAAACTTGTAAAATTATTTATGATTTCTTTGATATACCAAAGATTTTAAACAGCACGAATTCAGTGGTAATTGAAGGCTCTTAGTCGAGAAAAATCAGAGAATTACTGGTACGAGGTATATCGTGATATTTGTGATGCAGAGGGGACAAACAGATAAAGATCGGCGTCGAAACGCCACACAAGAGTGTCAAGCTCTAAGGGATTTAGTGAACAAGTTGAAGATGGAACTTTTGCAAAGTCAAGTGGAAACTCAAAAAGTTAAAGATCAACTCCAGTGTATGATATATCTTGTTCGCCGGTAAGTACGATGACCCCGATTATAAACAAACTTCAATGATTGAACCAGTGATGCAAGTGCACCAAAGATATGATTTTCTACATAATTTTAAAAGTTTTTTCTCTCAAAATTACCTGTTTGATTTTACTGTTTTGAAGTGTGAATAGTGATTTAATCAAAGGACGTTTTCTAGGGCTTGTTATTTTTAAAGACAAAAAACACCAAACTTTACTACTAAAATATGCTGTTTAAGAAGTTTTAAAATATGTGTTATTTGGTTCTTTAATCAATATAAGCTCTATAGCTTATCTTAAAAAAATTATATTTCAAAAATTATATGCATAACTATCGTTTCAGCCTGCGCTTTCCCCTTTACCCTCCGATGACTACTTCTACCTTGAAAACTCTTAACTTTAAAAACTGCCCCTGTTAGACACCAGACTATCCAAAAACCTTTAACCCTTGGTTCTTCAAAACTAAAATTTAGGTAACCCATGACTCATAACCATGAAAAGATGCTTCTTAGTGCAATACTGACACAAATGGATAGCTTTGACCTTTCAACAGAGTAGGGAGAAATGTGTCTTACATTGTCAAACACGTACCTTTGCCTACCCACTTAAAGATATTTGTGAGTTTATGGCTTTCTAATGTTTCCACCAGGCTAAGAAGTTATGGTGCACAAGGGCATAAGTTTTTCAGGGGTTCAAGTTGTTGAGACTGAATTTGGGGTGTGAGCTTTGTGGAGCACTGAGACTTTCAGGGTGGTGGAGGGGGCTTGAATTGTCAAGATACCCAGGCAGGGGTCTGTGCATGTGGTTCTAGTTTTGAGGGATTTTGCTCTCTTCACATCCACACGGTCTTCCACACTTATCATTTCATCCTTTTGAAGCTGCTAATCTATTGCTATTCTCTGCAGAGCTTGGCAGGGAGATGATGTAGCATCAATACATGTAGCCAATATTGTAGGTAAGTTGATGTTTTACATTTTCTTTCTTTTCTATCTTTTCTGTGTTGTTCTTGTCTTTTTTTGTGTGTGTTTGGTGGGGTTGGAGTTGGGTTCAGTGCCCTGATATAAACATTTCATAATTATATTCTTGCTATATCATAATCAATAATTAACCCTAGCCATAAGGAGCTATTGAGAGAAATTAATTCAATCAGTGAATTTTCTTTATCTATCTTCTGGTAAAGTGTTACAAATTAAATTTAGGCACACTTAGCCCTATTAGTTCAGGTACTTGATAGAGTCAAGTTCTACAGAGTATACACGATGACAGACAGCTCATGATTTGGTCATTTTTTTTTGTACTTTGAAACAATTTGATTTACATCTGATAGGTGTGGCCCCACCAAAGATGCAGAGGTCAGATCATGATGAAATTGTGGCCACACCCAAGGTTAGCTCAGATTATCTGGAGTCTCTATAATTAGCTTACTCAAGAAATATTAAAGTAAATGGTTTGAATCCAGGAGTATCAGTAGTTCGTATAGTGTGATCGTCCGGGTGAGTTACCAACAACAGTTCTTTTCAGAACTACACTCACCCGGACGATCACACTATACAAATCAAGAAATATTGTTTTTTTTTCCTTGGTGTGTATTAATGGAGTGACCTTCAATTATATTTGAAGGACTATTTAGGCTACAGACTATTTAGACTGAATCAACAATGTACTCTACACACATTGTATCCCCTCTGATAACAGAACTTTTTATTGATAACAATGTTTTTTTTTTTTTTTTTGCTCAAAGTAAATTGAAAATCCAGTTACATCCTTATTTGATGAATTGATTACTCCAAAAATACCACAATTTGATCAAATTATTATTGCCCAATGTAGACCAACATGCTGCTGTAATGCACATGTATAATATATCTGACCAACATGCTGCTGTAAATGCACATGTATAATATATCTGTACAGGTGCACTGTATACTATTTTATATGAATGCAATTGCTTTTATTTACTGGTAAATTTTTTTTTGTCTCATTTGTTTTTTCCCGAAAATCTCACTGATCTTAGCATGTAGCATGAATACAGGGTCTTTCATCAAATCCTGAGAAAAATGATTTTCTTTTCAGTCTAGAGCTCTGAATGGCTGGGCTCGACTTGTTATTGGTCTGTTAAATCGTATGTACCAAGAGGAAGAACTTGAACTACGCGCTAAACAACTTTTGTACATGCGTGACAGAGAAGAACTACTTGACGAGCAGCTTATGTCACACAAGGATATCACACGCCATCAAACGAATGTTTCCCTTTTGCAAACCAATACCTTACAGTTACTACAGGTATTTATATCAAGAACGTTTAAAATTGGTAAATTTGAGAAAATCTGGTCCGGAAAGCTTTCGTCTTTGATTGTTATACACACAACATTTTTTTTTTCACTTGTAGATTCTCCCTGATCGAGTTTCCTCTTAGCTAATAGATATCTGTTTGTAGAATTTTCATGCAATTATGTGTTAAGGGAGTGTTTTTCAGCGCTTTACTAACTAAATTCGTTTATAATTTCCGTTCGGTTCATAAAAGTTTTTTTTTTTTTTTTCCCGAATTATGTTTAAGCGCAACCATTCGTTAATGGAAATTGACCTGGGAAATGAATTAAGGATTGCGCATGCGTGAACGACGTAGTGATTGGCAAGTTGAACTCGAAATCGATAAGAACGCAATTGAATCCCTACTATGTCGTTTGTGTGGTGTTCTTGGGTATGTCAACAATCCCTCAAAGTGGTTCTCCATCAAAGAGTCCAACTGGATACAAACGACCCCTCCGGGAAAGGCGAAAAAATCTTGAGGGTAGCCTGCAATTTGATCTGTTAGTTTGCCATCTGAAGAGGTAAGAGGCTTACAGAATTTGGGATACTAGCCTTGTACGAGAAGTTATTTTTGTGTAGGTCAGTTAACGCTGGATTTTCGTTGCTTCTCGTGCGCAAACTGACATGGCACATGATATGAATGCGTTTTTACAGGCCAAAGAAGAATGCAAAGCTCGAGAGAGAGCGGAGGAACGAGAGCAAATTGAACAGCAAAAACAAGAATTGAAAGCAAAGTTTAGAAGGAGGCCACCAAGGCTTCAAACCCACGGCGTGGCCCGGAAGGACAGTGTGGAGAGAATTGTTGACTTAGATATGTCTGGTAACCTCTTGATCAGCCCGGTGAGGAGCAAGAAGATAGCAGCTAAGGAAAGTACTGTAAGTATTACATAGGAACAGAGGGAAGGGCCGCTTTTAGTGGAGGGCTAGAAAAATGCTTTCTTTGTTTTATATCGTTGTTAGGCTGCCTAACTAATGAGATCATGAGCGCGATCTCTAAAGATCAAAATCAAAGACTACGAACAGTCCCTCTTTCTCAGCAAAATCCCTCGCGCGGTTCAAAGATAAAAGACTTCGAAAAAAAATTGATGTCAGCGCGTCACGCGAAACTCTGGGAGTGAGGCGCACGAAAAGTAGAGTTTCCAGAGCTCCTCTGACAGAGGGACCACTCGTAGTCTTGTAGGAGGTGTTTTTATTTGTCACCCTGCCGCGATATTCCGGTGTACAATAACAACATCAACAAATATAATAATAACAGCAACATGAATAGCAGAAACAAACGCAGCCACAATTCCAATAAAATCAAACACAAGTCATAAAATGTTTCGCAGGAGCCGTGGAAAACTTTAAGCATCGTTTATATTAAAGGTAAACAAAAAAATTGGGGAAATTCTCAAGACGTAGCTAAACTGGGAAAGTGTTTATTTTCCTTTCTTGTTTCTATGTCTGGGAGTTAAGGTTTTGTCTTTTTTGCTGATTAAGAGGAATTCGAAGATTTAAGACTCCAGTTTGCCACGACACTTCTTTGAGATTATACAGCAGTTTTGCTAAAGTAATCAAAATATCAGAGCTTGGTATATATATTGATTTTTCCGTTTTCTTTTTCAAGCAGGAGAGACTTGTTAATAGTCCAGAAGATCTGGAAGATGAAGCTATAGTCGAAGGTTTGATGCAACTAATGCATGTATTTTGGTCTTGCGTTATGATGAAGACAGCAGTGACTAATATGTTGTATACTTTTGTGGTTAAATTTGGTCCTTGCACCAGGTTTTATTACCCTTCGTTTCGAACTCATCGTCATTCACTTTTATGTCCAAAAATTCGGCATAAAAATATTCTTATCACAACATGTCTGTAAGATTAAACTCGTACTTTTTGTTACTTTATGAAAAGTCCGTTCATAACAGTGTCTCTATCCCATTCACTATCCCTCAGGATCGTCCTCCTCATGCAGCAATATCAAGAAGGAAAGCGCTGTAAGTTTCAGTTTTACCATCTGTATTTTAAGTCGTTTATTAGGATGTCTACTTTTTTTGTAACAAAGCCTTATCGCCTTACAACAACATCCCTTTCCATGTTTTACTTTTGCTTATCGCCGCCAAGGCTTTTTTTTCTGAGAACGCTTTTCATACTCTTAATTTTTCTTTTTGATACACTTCTTAAATTTTGCAAGTTGAAGTGTTATTAGCTAAGAGAGAGCTATTGCACTATGCAAGCAGGTGTTTGTGGAGGAATGTAAAGATGCTATCACATATACATCTATATGTGACTATCAATAGCCAAGGATGAATTTGGGAATTTCAAGGAAACGAAGAATTGTATTTATGAGACATTCTGCCATCTCAAGACGAGATCATCCGTTGCAAATTAAAGCGAACCTTAGATTAATAGCTGCATAAAATAAATGACGTCAAGAGAGCTCAAGTAACTCATAAAGTGGTCAACCTGTGACATTGGTTTTGTTTGCTTTCGGTTGTTTTTTGTGGACATAAACATTGATATTTGTTGGAATTTGTTTCAGAATTCAAACGATGTCTTCCTCACAAGAAGAAGATCTAGCTCTTTAAGCCGGTAACGGTAGCTCAGCTTCCATTTCTGTAATTAAAATTCATGTATTTTACGTTCGCATTAATGCTTTCAAACCTAGCACATACCCAAGAGGATACTGAGTTAATATACCTGTATATTCTTTACCACTTTAATTTTGTATTCAGAAAATACAATTTTGATTGAAGTCTCAAAGTATATGGACGTCTTTGATAGGCACTCACACCTTCGTTTGTCGTTAAATTCCCATCATCCCTCGCGCACATGGGGCCCATTCGAAGAGATAGAAATTATATCATTCAAGATATTCCCATTGAGCACTCAGAACCGAAACTGGCATTGTTTACGCTCGCATATAACCTAGTCTAATTTCTCTATTTTATGTGTCTCAGGGAGGAAGCAAACTTACCGAAACAGAAAAGAAATGGCAATGTAAGCAAACTTTCCTTAATGTAGCTTTTTACTTAAATGAAAGAATCATTGATTTTGGAAACATTCATTGCCTTTTTCACGCCCCTTTCCCTGTTTCTTTAGCATACTCGTTCACAGACAAGCGATTGGACTGGAAAAAGAAAACCTAGGCCCCAAACTGCAGGTATGTAAGTTCTAGGTCAGCGTACGCTCGCACTATCTCGTCTGAAAGCGAGAAATTTGAAGGAAATTTGGCATCAGTGTGCATTGCCTTATTGGATTAGCAGAAATTCCTTCTTGTAGAAGTGAGGTATGTTTCTCCTTAAGGAATTCTACTAGAGTAACACATGGAAAGCTAACGTTCGTATCTGCAATATCTTTTGTCGCTGAGATTTTGTACCTAGCCATAGGTGTTTAAACTTATTGTTTCGTGTGGCACAAGGGAATCTCATTGAGTTATTGGATTCACGACTACTGATCAGCCTTTGCCTCTTTGACGCACCGTTTCACCCATAAGTGGCCTTCTTCCTTTTTTTCTGACACTTAGCAGATAGTGAAGATTCTGCTTTTGTGAAATACTTCTGCGGTAAAAGTGATGCTAAATCTAGTTCTAAACCTTGGCAACGCTAAATTTTAGTCACCATAATTGTGGCTTTATTGAATATGACAGCTGCGAAAAGTTCCAACACGGGGGGCAGCATGGTTGTGAAGAGCAAAGGAAGGCCTATGTCCGCCCACGTGACCCAGCCTATGGCATGGAGTAAACCCCCTCCAACCTTTGACACAAGTAAAACCAGAAGACAGTTAGATCTCATCGAAAGAGACTTGAAGTTCACAACGAAGGCGCTTCAGGATCGACTGGGTATTTCTAAACAAGGATTTGTGTAAATAAAACGATTTCAATGCCGTAGAAAAGGCAATGCAAGGCTTAAGTCGCGTGGAGACCATTTTGGCGTGTTTGCGGTAACAAAAGAAATGTGTAAAATTCAGTGGCGAGGTAAAAAACTGAGGCACACAAGGGGAGTTACAGTTAGATTCCTTTATATGAACACAAAAGACTCAGAAATCTAGCTAAAAGCTCAATTAGTCAATTTTAGCAAATATGGTGAATTTTCTGCTATGTCTGCTCCTAACGGAATCGGTTATTTTTGAGCCACGCATACCCGGATTGATTTAACAGTTTGACTACATGTAAGAGTGAAATAAAAGCATCTAAAACTTTCACTTTCAGATCTTTGTTTGTTTTTTGTCAAAATTGGAGTTCATTTAGTCTTAGTTTCTCTTTTAGCGCTCGCTCTTGATGTTTACCATGGCATGCGAGTGATGAATTGAATGCATAATGGCTGCTCAGGTTATGGGCGCGAAGGCTGTTCTTTAGGGTTGGCAAACATTTACACTACTATTAAAAGTCCAGCCATGTTTTATTTCATTCACTACAGTCGTGCTTTGTACTACTCAGCCGCTCACTGGAAGAAAATTACAATTAGCTTGAAGCGACTGATAGAGTCCATCGTATCCTTCACTCTTTTTGATGTTAATTGCATCATCGATATGAACAGGATCCTTGAAGACGACCCCCCAGCGAAGGCCTGCATCTTGCATGATCTTCTGGGTGAAGCACTGGACTCCTTTGGAATGGTACTTGTTGTTGAGCAGACAAGCCCATTTGCAGAGAAGATTCCCGTCTCTCAAATTCATGTCAATAGCGTGACCCACGAAATGGTTACTGCGGCTGGCAGGTTTATACTTGGCGCCCTCTAGTTTCTTTCCGTTGTCTTTCCTGAAGGAACTTGTAAGTATCACCTAGTAAAGGACAAACCGAAACACCAGAATCAAATTTCATTTCGCTTTTCCGTACCGAGGACGTGTAAGAGAGAGCTTCTTTTTCTAAAATAATTCCAAGAGACAAACCTTAATCCTGCATTGCTGAGCGTAGCGGTTTATATTTATGATTGCTCCTTTGAATCCTGGATGAATATAACCAACGCCTTCAAAGAAGCCACCCCAGAATTTCAAAAGATCACAATTCCCTTGTAGGAAAGACATATGGTAAAAATTAAACCTTTATACGTAAAGGAAGAAAAGAAGTTACTTATGTGAATTATGTCCTGTGACCAGAAATTTTTCGTCGCTCTTGGACTTATTTTGACTTAAAAAACAAAACAGAGGCACGGAGGAAATTTGCTGCATTTCTCATCATGATCACGTTGATGGTTTCGAATGCACTTTTCTCAGTTTGGTCACTACGCAAACATTTCCAAAAATCTCATTCTATTTGCAGTTTGCTATTTTTCATTCTATTTTGCTATTGCTATTTGTCGGCTTAAGGCAAGAAATAGAACCAAACCTTTCCTTAGCGTTAATTTTTCGGCAACACATTAGGGAACAAAAGAATAATACTTTTTAACAAAATTGGTATTGTGCACTTGTTGAATAATGCTTCTCCGAGAGAAAAAAAAGTTCTTACCTGCTGATTGTACATTGCAAGAGATTGCCAGCAGCACGATAACCACCAGAATCATTTTTAGCTTCATGGTTTTCGTGAAGTACGAAATCCTGACAGGAAATGGAAGTTGTGTGTAAAATCAACCTCGACAAATATCTTTGCCTTTCTTTTATTAGTGTTGCTGTAGAAATTTAAGCGTATGTAATGTCATTTTCTATGTTAAAAAAATCTAGTATAGCGAAATTCTATGTTCGTAACGACTTAAAATGCTAAACGTTTTAAGTTGTTTCCTATACACAGTAAAACGTTTCCCTTACATTCAATTTTCGTCTTGGTTTACAACGAAATATTATTGCTCTTCGAGCATATAATACGGTCGTCTTCGGTCAAGCAACGTGAAAATTATAACCATCTGGTTGAAATTTGACATAGGCGGCAAAAAAGGTTTAATACCAATAGTTCTTACCTCAGTTCAGTTCTTGTGTCTCAAGATCTAGAAGTGAGTTATTGAAATGACTGTCTCAACAGTTAGTTAAGGGCTAAAAGTTCGACGGCTGTAAATAAATTGTAAGCTGTAAACTTCTTCGTTTAACACGTTGGGCTTTTGTTTGCCTTTTACATTGTCTGAATGCAATTGTTTTGATCACCCAACCGGGAACAGCAAGCCCTTTCACAATAAAATGAAGATGGCAAAATGGAGGAAAACCAAATCAGACTTTTTATGCTTTTATTGAAAATGGATGAGGCGATCTCTTCTTTACTCTTGTCATATTTTTCCTGTATCTTTACACAGAAAAAGTTGTTTTTTATATTTGAATTGTAGATTCTCCTCTTAGAGTAGAGTGTCAAAGTTGAAGTGTTACTTTGGTTAATTATTCAAACATCTCTAAATCACAACTTGAAATAAAGTTAAAGAGGTGAATCAAACTTTCTCTACCAAGAATTAATTCAAGAAAAAATGTTCAGAGTTTTCCATGGAGAAGTAAACGAACGAATCGAACGACGGTCCATTCTGTTTCCATGTATTTCGAAATCTGATGCTTCAAGTCTTTTGGTGCGTAACAAAGACTTTGATAATGAATTAGGTCCCACATGAGGGTATCTTGTCTCCTCAATTGCAAGCATCCTACATGCTATCATGATTAGAAACGACGAAATCGTCGTTTGAGTGAATCAAATTTAACAGAAATGATAGATTTTGAACTCGAAAGTCGAATGAACAGAGATGTAAACAGTATTCCCTGAAATGATTCATTACCATTACGACCGGAAGTATAAATTTCTCGCGATCTACCAAATATTTTGGGTGTACATTTTATGGAACATTTTGTTAACAGCAAACATCATCTCCAAGTTAGTTTTTCCGTTTCTTTCGGCGCGTGTCATTTATTTCACCGAACATCTACAACAACTTAATTACAAATGTAAAGTCGTCTCGAAACGCTTTCCAGTTGGTTCTTTCAAGAATGTTGGCGGCCAACTTTCCTTAGGACGATATTTATATATATAATAATCAACGCTTTGATTCCCCTTAAATTCAAGAAATATTGGTCGACGCTTCTCGTTCAATAACTTTAATCATGAACCTCTGGTGCTACAATTCCACTTTTTCCATGAATGTAGCCGTAACATACAGTATAGTTGCATCATACTTCAGTATGCAGCTTTTGGGAGAAAGTTTGTCGGAAAAAAGGAAAAAATTGCACGCGACAACCACCAAAGGTAATCTGGTTATCTGGTAATCAATGAAGTTTACCCGCTCCCGAACCCGCTCTGCCTCGTCCTTACAGTGACGTTTCTCAGATTTCTCGGAAATCCTGAAATCAGGGAACTATTCACAATACCTTTTGGGATTGTGGCGTGCACTTTTACGTCTTTTTTTCAACAACCTTTCTCGTTACAGCTGTATAAACATGTAGACCCACAGATATATTAAAGTTCACATGGCAACCAGGTGGACAATCAGACATGGTTTAAAGACCATGGTTAAAAACCAGGGCTGGGGGAAATATATGCTTGATGTCAAGAATGAAACAGTTCTTTTTCGCAATTGATTATTTGTAAAGATCGATGGGAGCGTCTCAAGCTGGTGAATGTGTAAAAGTGGTCAGCTTACAATGAATTTTATGCATGTTGTGATCCAATCCCTTCATTATGAGCCTTAGGCTACAAAAACACATCTTCCTTTTTTTATGAGGTACTGTAAAGCATACTAACTCGTCAAATTGTCTGCAAATTAGCAGAGTAAGCATGAGCATTTGATCTCTCCATCACCCAACTGATTTTGGAAAACAGTAACGGATTCCCAGAAACGCATCATCCTTTACGGTAAAGGAATTTTTTCAAAGTTGACCGAAAATCCTGCAGTCTGAGCGAATAAATAACTGGGTTTAAAATAGAGTTTGTATAATGAAGTAATTTCACGGTATAAATCAGTTGATGTGAAGGCTGCGCAAGGCATGGAAAAGATTTACACCTCAAGAACACAATTAGATTAATGACGTGAAATGGAAGCCAAGTTAGGATAAAAACTGTCGTCACTATAAACACAGTCAAGGCCAATTTTCGGTCATTCTCGATGGCTCGCCGACTTCTGTCCCTGCTGCTGTTTTCGTTGATACATGGAAGTCTCTTTCGGTCGGATCCAGCTCCAGAAGACTCTACACTTGCCTCTCTAAAGTACATCTGCTGGACGCGGGCCTTTATCCAGATGGCGAGATAAGCTAACAACATTACAAGCATGGAAGAGAAGAACGTCAAAATTAGAAACCAGAAGAACACTTTGTGTTCGATCAAGTCGTATTCATGGAAAAAGTACAGACTTGACAAGAGCGTCGCTAAGATCCAAACGCAAGAAACCAAGGCGTGGTACAACCTTTTTGTGGAGGTTCTGTGACGGATCGGGAAACAAATCGCATACACTCTTTCCAAGGCGATTATTGTCAGAGTGAATGTAGACCCCAGGCCGCAAAATACGTCCATTGCTTTCACAATGTTCAAAAGCGTGGATTTTGAGACAGAACCATGTTGCCAGAAGCTAACAAACTGATAGATGAAAGCTGGAACTGAAAATATTCCAACTGTCATATCAGCTACAGCAAGAGAAAGAAGAAAATAGCTTGTCCGCCTGCGTAGTAGTCGCCTTCTTGTGAGCACCGCAATGGCAATTGAGTTGCCTGTGACGATGATTATTGACATTATGCCAAAAGCTAGTGACCACCCCACAAGGGAAATGTCCGATGGTCTTTCTTCTTGAGATGATTCGTTCATTCCTCGTCGCTCGGGTCTGCGGAAAGCCGAAACACAGAATTTATTAGTAAGTAAACAATTGACAACAATTGAGAGACAACTCTCGCGATAGATATGAAAACTGGAATAATATCTAAAATACCCATTTTTCGTAGAAAAGAGATGAATTTCTTACAGGTATTATTTAAATGACTGAAAGGAACTTCTCGATTGTGAAAATTACGAAAGGTAAGTTTACATCGACATTTTAATGGACGGTTTCGAGGAAGTTACTTGGAAGAACTCATAGTGGTGATGTTGCCGTTGTCTTCGCAGAGAAGAACTGCCAAATCACTTAACTGTCAGAGAATTAAAGTTCGTTATATTCACATGCTGGAAAGAGCATGAAAAAACAAATGCGAGTTCTAAATTTGCCACTGATTACTTCATGATATTTCTATTTTTAATTTCTCTATGTTACAAGATGTCGTTCCTTCTCGGTATAAACTATAAACACTGGAAATATCGACTATGGGAACGATTTGAAACATAAGCGCAGTTAAGTTGAAGCGATCGCGAATTACTTAGAAAAAACTTGATATCAATACTCACAAAGAAGCAATAAATGGCTGCCAAAAACAGTCGCAGTGACGGAGGATAGACCGCGATTGTTTCGGGAGGCGTGATATTATCCAGGAACCGTTGAGGAAATCAAGTTCACTGACCTTACACCTGCGCGGGGAGGAGTGATCACTACGACTGCTGCACCACTGGGAGTATAATAAATGTGTGCCATTCAAATTTCCTTTGTACGTGATCAGGTAATACAATCCTTTTTGCCAAATACAATCATGTTCTTCAAAAGTATGATAACAACGCATTCGATTGATAAATCGTTTTTCAGTCATAAAAGTGAGTGAAGTTTTCAAATGGATCGACAGGTCATCGTGACTAACCCTACTTAAAAGTAAACATTTTCTCGATGATTTGAACGCCGCAGTTTAAGAAGGCATAGAGCTGCGCTCAAGCTTCTTAAGAGCAGCCGAGAAAAAAAAAATTTTCTCTGGGTAAAGGTATATTTGCTTAGCTTAAGTGAAGGAGTCTGGTTTTATCGCATCTGTACGTAATATTGATCTTTCTTTGATGATTAAAACATTGTCTCATTCGTTTGTAGAAGCTGTGAAAAGTATTTCATTTGATTGATGCTTTAGCTTCAAACGACCGAGGGGTTTAATCTTTTATAAAAAAAGATATGTGATACGAAAATTTAAATAAGAAAGAGGAAAAAACCTTTGCAGGAAAAAAGAGGAAAGAGAGAATGGAATGACCTTTCGCTACATGTCTTAAGAGGTAGGGAGGCAAGGCTTTTAAGCATAGGACCATGTAATTTTCGAGTGTTATCAATTGTGAGTGATGTTTCAAAGGAGACCTTTCATCTGAAAGTGCGAATATAACCATATGTCGCAGGTACTAGACAACTACGTAACGTAAGCTGCCGGGTGGTTATTACAGGGAATAAATCGAAAACGCGAATTACTAACGCAAATCACTTACGAATAATAATAGGCTGTTTGTTACAACATTGTGACGAAATTCGTCCTCAAAGTAAACAACTTGTGGTAGGTAATCATAAAATGAAAACCTCAGACAATCCATGTTGAACAACTCAGTTCCATGTCGAATTTTTAAAGCTAGAGGGAAATTCTGCTTGTAATCAACATTTCTTCTTCTACGTTTGACTACTCCTAATAGCTACGGTGTACGTTTCAGAGCGGGAGCTCCCTTTTTTCTCTTTTTTTTTTTTTCATTTTCGACCGCTAATTTCATCCAAAAATTAGCCTTATTTTTTCTACCATAGACAGTGCGATCAAAATTCTCAACAACCAAGTCATACCAGTTTGAGGTGCTTGAACTGAACATGATACCTGTGATAGATCGCAACGCTTTCTCCTACCCATGATGTCGAGATGATAATTGTAAATGTTCCCCTCACCCTCAATGATCATTGTGTGCAACTGCGAGATCGATCATTTTGTTTTCTAAATACAATGATGGTAAGAATTTTATGTTTTACATCCCAATCACTGGTGCGTATTACTGAAATTGCGTGTGCAGAGTTTTTTTTCCTCTGCCAAGAAGTTTCCGTTCGTTAATATAATAAGAAAAGAGAAAACTTATCTAGGGAGAAACATTAAATTGGCGATTTTGATTGACGTAGAGTGCTTTTAGTGGGGGAAGAGATAGACTTTATCTCTAATCTAAATACTGACCTTTCCATTGGTATAACTGCTTGTTTGCGATTTATTCAGTGCATAAGACAACTCGAAGTAACACAACTAATACACTATTTGAAAATTATAATTCAACTATATCAGAGTAAATCTGATAGCTCGTGAAAAACATTGAACTCTTAAGACAGCCTTTTGTTAAAAGAGACTTACTTCAGCTTTTGTTCAGATTGTAATGTTTCTCATTTTTGGCGTTTAACATAAAAAAATAAAAGCATATTGATTTCTACTAACCTTTGTCCTAATTTTTTTGTCCCCTTTAGCTTTGTTGTGCTTTATACAGGAAGGTGAATGATACAATAGCTAGTAGCATTGCAAGGGTCCCTGATCATGATATCATCGACTAAGTGGATGAAGGGAGAGGGAGCAAAAGTTGGTATTGTAGTCAGGCACAAAACGTATATCCTACCCATGCATAAAGTAGATTGATTTTATCAACACCTCGTGAGCATGCAATACTCCAGTTGACATGGTAGAAGTGATAAAAACATGAACTTGATTTAGGCTAAATGCCGGGTTTACTAATTTCTTCATATCCGTCACTCGGTAGTTAACATGAGCCAAAACTTCCCAAGGTATGTCTCGGGGGTTATGATATTGCTATTGAAAATGACAAATACTCGCAACTATATTTATCATGTTGAATCGTAGAAAAACAAACGATCCTCGAGGTATTTACATCAATTTTACAAAATCTGCTTAAACTTGTTCCTCTCTTTTTACACCTAGACAAAGTAAAAGTAGCAAGAGTAAAAAATTCAATTGAACGGGGACCTGATTGAAAGAAAACGTGCCGAAATTTTGTAGCAAACCGCTGACAAATTGATATCGAGTGATATAGTTGTATTCAGAGGCTTGCAAGCTTTACTTAAGTAATATGCACCAAGCAAAGGAATTTCTTGTTAAGTATTGCAGTTTAAGTTGGTTGTAGATCTAGGTTAGCAGTTTCGTGATTTTCGAATGTAAACTAAATCTCTCTATTAGACTATTTTATTTAATTATAACCATTTGGCGAATCAGTTCAAAATTCAATATTCTTCCAAACTGAAATGAGTCACTGTTCTATAGCAAACCATCAACTGAAGCTCGACATGCAACTGGCTTCTTTTTTTTTTCCATGCGCTCTTTAGGCTGAAATCTATTTTTCTTAAACTAAAATGATCAACAGACGTTTCAAAATTACATTATCCGCCAAAACCTTCAGTGAGGGATTCGAAAACATTGCCCTCCGGTTTCGCTTTCCTTTGTTGTGATGCAAACTTCCTTAGAAATAAAAACTCAAATTGTAGGAATTACAACTCTACCAATTGAAATTCAGGTCTCAAAGTTTGTTTTTGTGCGTCTGTATGGGTGCATTATCATATAAATATGTATTGATAGTAACATAACCTAAATATGTTGCTTTTGTGCCAGCTTAATGAGTGCAAGTATATCAAAAGCTCGTTCATCACGAAAACCTTTTTTATTCTGTTTGTTTACATTTCAACACCGGGATATTTTCCATGAATGTGCTCATTGCCGGTGTATGAATGAGCTCCAAAGCCTGAGAAACTCTTCCTTTGGTCCGAGTCCTATGTAGCTGTACACTAAGCATCAAGCAACCAATGGAAACGAGCGAAATTAAATTAATACTTATTTATAATAGCGATCTTTTTCACGAGAGAAGGTCTTGACATAAAGAGAATTTACTTAATAAATATATATCCCCGTTGGCAAAAAATCCGGAAAAAATATTTGTATTTATTTCCGATTTCTCGGAGGTTTTTTTTATTATTAAAATCTTTGTTACTACTAACGATGCAATTTGCCCATTTCTAGTCTTTTTTGACACTTATTTGTTCGGAATTTGTACTTCAATATAGTTTTTGCCTAGCCAACTTCAATGTAGATTAGTGATCTAAATGGATTGTCCGTGAGACAGATAAACAACATAAAGGGATATTTTATCATCAAGTTTACTGTATACGTTTAAAACGATTTCTCGAACGAGAATTTCCATTGCAAAAAGCCGAACATTTAGCTTTCATATACAAATAAAGATGTTAGACCAAATAAGTCCATTTATTTTAGGCGGACTATAAAAACCTACAAAAAAGGTTGGAAACAAAAGAAAAACATATATGCCGTGATTGTTAGATATCTAGAGCAAAATATCCGGGAACAAGGGAATATCAAAGCAGAAAAATTAAAGAGGGAAGCTTCTAGTCCGATCGCCTTTGTGAAAATATCCTATTCAAAGAAAAAAAAATATATAGAGCAATTATACCTTCTTCCTTGTTTCCATTCATACTCGGCGTATCTAAATACCGCCTACGACTCTCTTTGATTCTCCTAAAATAACTTGGGCTCTGATCACGTTCAGAGCACCTTTGATCGGACAATTACTTGTTGTTCCCCTTTACCTTGATTCATGTTGAAAGCGTCGCAATATTTCAGTGAAAATACAAATATTAAAACTACGGCAATAGGAGAAACACATCAACCAAAAGTTTGTCACAAGGACAGTGAGTGTCTTACCGGAAAGATGAAATATCACAACATATGAAATGTAATGTCTTTGAAATTAATAAAGGGGAGATTTTGATGTGGATTTTTTCCTTATACCTTTTGAAAATTTATTTGTTGCATCTTGCAATAACGCCGATGAAGAAAGCGCTTGTAGTGTACCACGCGAAAGATTACGATCACTTAGCACTTCAGAGACATGAGTTGTCATTATCTTTATGAATCTGAACTTTAATGAAACCTCGCGGTACAAAAAAATAATATTATCGAAACGACTTTCATCTACATAATAAAAAGATTATTTTCCTTCCATGCAGAATGTTTATAGAAAGATTTCGGGTTTTAATACATATCTTTTTGGCATTACAATATTGCCCTCAATTAATTCTTAGAAAAACGGACGTTTGCACATACACCTTCCACGGTGACCCTCAAATTAGATCACAAAGACATAGATTCGAATTTTGTTCTGGGAGACTAAAATTTCTGTAGAGGAAATCATTGTGATATTCCCTTTTATTTATAATGCTGTTTGGACTTACCAGTCCTGGAGCCACTGGAAAATACGATGAACAAAATATTCGAGGGTTTTTAAGCATCCTTATTCACCACTAATAAGCTTAGTTACTTTTTTGGTCAAATTAATTTTCCTTCGCGGTTAATATTATATATAAAAAAGTAGTATAATACCTTTTTTCTTCAACGTTTCTTTCCTTCCTTAGAGTTAAATGCTGAGGATAAGAGGAGGAGAAGATTCTCAGCGGGAAGCTTCTTGCTTAAAACCATGCACTTGAGGTGAAATTAAACCCCACTTTGCTCAGCAGAACTTTACTTATGTAAATTAAATACGTATGCAGGTTGATTTGATTATCTTGAAAAAACAGAAGTTTACTGCCGTGGAATATCTCACTTATATTGATTAGATGTGTTCGAGGTCTGG